TGTTTGTTTGTTTTTTTGGTTAAGTTTATTCCGTTCATAAAAAGTAATTATAAAAGTCTGTTTTTCTACTTCCAAGCGGATTTTTTTAATATAATTTTTTTTAAAAATACGTTGATAGAATATTTTTAAATAAGTTTTTATTATTCAGGGCCGTAGGAAGCATTTTCATTGGGGGGGGGGGGGGGGGGAGCATACATTTTCAGTTGGGATACCATAATATCGGCACAATTATTGGGGGTTCCTACGACCATGTTGTTCATACAAATCAATTTCTTCCAAGGTATGGAATACAAACATAAAAAAGAGGCACATAATGATTCAAAAGATTGTGAAAGTTTATTTCATATACATGAAAATTGAAACTATTTGTCAATTTTTTAGTTTTTCCCAAGTAAATCAGGTTATATCAAAAGCTGTCTTCTGTTTTTTTTTTTTAACCTGTGCTCTCGATCATCGACGCTTATCACTTGGACACAGCAATCGTACATCATATCTTAAAAGGGCCGAAACTGTAATCTCAAATGAAACACTAAGGAAATTGGTTTCTTTAAAATAGATTTCTAAGACCGCACGACATTAACTGGCAAGATTGGAAATATACAGCTTACATGTACCTCATTTCCATCTGTTACACTTAAAATATTTGATGATCGAGACGACACTGATATGGGCTGTCCAAACTCAAAAACTTTCTGCTTATTTCTAAGATCTAACCCCCCCCCCCTTCTCAAGAAACAAATGTTCGTCCTCTTATTATTTCTTTTAAACAAAAAACATTGGACAGAAAACTCTGATTTATATATTATTATATAATATAATTATTACATAATATATATTAATATATTATATTAATTATTTCGAAATTGGCATTATTTATCTTCTATATCTATCACTAACACTGTGCGTACAAGAGTAGCTGAGGTGAATTTAAAATGAATTTCGAACTAGAATTTTAATCCAGACGCCCGCGCTGAATTATTATAATTACCCGCTCAAATGTTTTGACTCTAATAGATGAAAATGACGTAATCTGCATACATGTATTTCCAAACCTTGACAGTAAATGTTCCGCGGTCTTAATGTCGGAATGAATTGGAAATTCGCGATCATATTGCCATATACTTACTATCACCTGCTGGACATAGAAATATAGCCGTCAGTCACGTGTCATGTTTAAGCTTACTAAAGTTCGAAATTTCAATCCTAGGAAAAATAGAATTCCTTGTAGCATTGCGCTTGATCTGAAATAATGACCTTTCTGGATTCCTGGAATTAAAAAAAATCTCGCGAGAGATTTTATTGTCTGGTTTCCAACTCAGATTTACGGAAAGTTCTAAAATTATTATTTTTTTTTAAGTAGAGTTTGATCAAAGAGATGGTTGTTCTGCTCTTGGAGCTTTTCTATATTATGCATATTTAACATAGCTGGACTTTTCTGAGCAAAGTGAAATACAGCTGCATTACAATTTTGACGAAATCTGAAACTGAAACTGAAGATTTTGAAAGACTGGAATATATTTTTACGCAGTCATCTTCCTCCGTTACATCAGCTAATCTGACATCTTAAGGCTTTTCATACTTCGGTGCAATGAAATGTACATATATAATTATGTCTCAAGCAAGAATTGAAAATAATACGTCAAACACGTTTTTAATTTTTTTGTATAAGGCGATGCAGGTAAGCAATATCCATTTTATGTTCGAAACTCTCCTGCTCTACTCGACTCTCTTCATAGGCTAAGTGGAATCTCGAAATTACAGAACATGACGGGTATTTTTGCCTGTTACCACAGGACAGGATTAAAAACGTTTTTTTTCCTTTAAAGGCAGAAAGGTGTGTGTATATCCTTTTTCCTCAAAGTCATGTATAATTCAACGGAACTTTCAGAAAATGTCGAGATATCCGGGGTGTCGAGATATCAGAGTTGAAACTTGATGTTCAAGATTTCAATGCTAAACATAGCTTAATTATTACATACACGAATTCAATAGTCAATTTTAAAAAATGATTCCTTACATTTTTCACGGTCATCAAAGTTTTGAACGAATCTCAATTCTTCTTTTGTTTATTCGTTTGTTTGTTTGTTTGTTTGTTTTTTTTTTTTTGTGGTGGTGGAGGGTGTTTTTGTTTGTTTTTTCTTCTTTTTTTTTAATTTGTTTTTTTTTTTTGTTTTGTTTTTGTTTTTTTTTTTTTGTTTTTGCTCAAAACATCAACGTTGCTTTTATTTTTATTTTTCCCATAATATACAGTTTCCATACTAGTGTTTGGTTTATGATTTTGAACTTTTTCATATCATTTGAATGACATCCATAACCACTTGTTATATGTAATAGTACATTTTTTCTTCTATCACTGATTTATTCTCAATCAGTGTTGCCATGTAAACATTTATCAGAAGTTTAATAATAATTTCTTTACAGCCTACTCTACTATTTAATCTACTGTTTGTTCTGTTTCATACATATTTTTAAAGTAAAAAGTCACTGTCGATTTAATTCTCATTTTCTTCAACTCTAAGTATAATGCTCTTGGAAAAAGTCCACATCTGTTTAGCTGTATTCAATTCCTAAACAAGTTGCAAGTTCATTTCAAACTGGCTTTTACCAGAACAATTTCATATTATTTTCAGGGACTAATATTTTTTAATGCATTTAATCCATTATTTCAGTTTTTTATTTAAACAAAATTTAGATTTTTTGTACCCACTCCTCCGTTTTATTGTGTGTTTATTTAGTATAGCTGTGTGCCCCCTCCCCTCCTCTTTGTTGTTGTTTAATGTTTAAACGTAGGTTCAAGCATCCCTTGTTACCGGTATTTATATTCAAACAACGATGATGTCTCTTTTTCAGTTTGAATTATTAGCGGTTGCCTTTTCATTCGGAATTTTTTTTTTGCTTGTCAATTATCTCTGCATGGTTAACCCCCCTCCCCCCAACCAACACCCATTTGGAAATCGACGCTATACACCCTGAGCTTGTCTAATCGAGTATATCAATATGAATAACTAGGGATTAAAATTAAAATGGTTAAAACATTTTATAAGGTGTTATTCAGATTAAAAAACCACTTATATAAAAAAAAATGCTTATATATGTGCACAGAGCTATCTCTCTCTCTCTCTCTCTCTCTGAAAAAAAAAATATGTGCATGTAAATGTATATATTTCCGGGGAAAATCAGTGTAAAACTTTCCGGCAACAATGAACCATAAGGATGCTAACGGAAAGTGCGCCATACTTTATTTACAATTCTAGCGTACTCCTAAACTGACGTCATAATTTAACTTCAACGTAAGAAATATGACGTCATGTTTAGACCAGTACCTATGTACAAATAATGACCTATATTTTTGTCAAAATATAGATATTATTGTATTAAATTACACGTAAGGTATATGGTTAATAAAAGAAAATGTAAAACATTTATTGAAAAACGACATTTTTGTCGGTTTGGCGTTGACACAGTAAACGACATTTATGTCGCTTTGGCGTCGAAAGGGTTAAGGAATAACTGTCTAATTTGTTGGTTTCATGATGTGATCAATCGATTGGCTTGCGTGATATTTTGCATAAACACCGAAGGCGTTTATGCATAAAATTATCACGCAAGCTAATCGATTGATCGTCGTCATGAAACCAAAAAATCTGACAGTTATTCCTTATATTTACATGCTCTTGATTCTGCAAATTCACGTGCTACAAGCCCCGCTTCTGTCTCTATTTGTCCCGCCCCGCACGTGATTTTTTTTTTTTCACCACGCCTATCGATCCGATGAACCAGTAGATTTATGTAGAAATAAAGTATTTTTACTATTTGAAATTTTATCTCGGACAAAGACATTGGAAATGTAAATATATCGATATATTAACTTGTAATCAGCGTTTCTAACTACATATACGTACTGTTGATGCGCTCAAGAGAGCCTTCCTGTAAGAAAGCATTTTTTTTAATGAGACGCAATGTTAATATAACATCATTGATTCAATTCAATTCTTCATTCTCTCAAAACCAGACCACTGGTACATGTTCATGTACAAGAGGTACATATAATATACATATATACAAACAAAAATAACAGTCAAGATTCAAAAATAGGCAAGTATATAAAGAAAAAAACAAAAGAATGAAGTAAATCGGTTAAATACATGGAGGATTCAAGAAGGACAGACAGTTTTGAATTTAAAAAAAAAATGACAATGATTTTTGTATTTCTACATTATATTTGTGTTCATAAGTTCATTGAACTTGAAAATGCTAAGATTTTTACAATATCTATTTTGGAGAAATATTTTTCTGTCTTTCGAAAAGTTCTTGCATTCCATAACATAATGAAATTCATCACCAATACTTTTACAGTCACAAAAAAAAACTACCTTTGTGGTTGTGGGGTACACGTTTTCTTGGGGTCCAAAGTCATTTTTTTTTTTAATTTTCTTCACTGTATACTTTTAACAACTCTGCAAATTTCATGGGGGATCCGGACCCCCCTCCGACCCCCCCCCCCTAGATCTACGCATGTATATATATACATTATTCCAGGATTCACATACATGTGGCTAGGGTCTAAAAATGAAATATAAATCGCCAATTTATCACGATTCCATCACAAAATACCTTATGGATGACGATTTTTTTTCCAGACCAAAAAGATAAGTTTAATAATCTATGAGACCACATGGTACTTGTAGGCGGATAAATCGTCTCATGAACGTCCAACAAAAAGTTTCAAGATTTTGTTTTCCCTTTGACCTTCCATACAAATAAACTTGATGATAACTATGTTATGTAAATTTTGTAACTACTAGGTTCCCATACTTCCCTCTGATGAAATAATTAATGAGTTGTACATTTTTGCCTTTTGTTTACATTTAATAATAATACAATTTCCGAGGAAACCAAAGTGTATTGAAGATTTTGATAAGAGAACCCTCACCCATGAACAGCAAAATCAAAATCAACGTATGAACTGTTTAACAACTATTTACTCCTGAACACCTTACTTCCGGTTTGTCAGACAAAGGAGAACTTTTCAATAAATGACTGCTTTCTAGCTATGAATCACGTCTAATTTGAAGTTCAACGTAATACCTGTGTAAGTATACTCCTATATATGTTGTTATTCTATCGTGATTTAATGAAAGCTGGCAGTATTTGCACATTTCAAGCATCCCCCCACCTTTGATTCGAGAGCATGGAAAACGCGGTTTAATTTATTTAAAGCCGCCATTGCTCTCTCAATTTACGCATTAAAACTATCTTTATATAAAAAGTTGGTACACAATCGGTATAATCGCTTTATAAAAGTGGAGAGTGCTGTGTATTTAACCCACCCCCCTTCTCGGTAGTCGGAAATGTCAGACTTGAGCCCCCCCCCCCCCTTTTCTTGGAATTTGGACATCACTCATCTGGTTAGTGGACAGTGGTGATTAGGCCAGGAAGGTTGTTAGGAAAAAATGAATATTAGTGAATTTATAGCGAGTAATCTGTATATTCTTGTATACAAAGATGCCTTAAAAAATGGCTGCAGAAAAAGGAGGAAAACTCACTCGTATACCTTTTTCAGATAAAGGGTGGTACCAACTCTCTTTTCAACTAAAAAAAATTATGTGATACATTAAAAAAAAAGAAGGTTTGACCATACTGCAGCAAAAATGGGGGATGGGGGACCAGCTTTTTAAGTTCAATGGAAAAATTTTTTGTAGAAAAAGATTATTCTCAGAAAAAAATGGAAGCCCCCCCCCCCCCTCATCAGTATAAAGTGCCAGTCTGTGCAAAAGTTTTTTCGGTCACAGGACATTCAGTCCTTTGTCCTCAAGGAAGACAGAAGCAAATCTTGTCAGACTGAAAAAGTCAAACATGTGAGAATGCAAAAGTGAAACATGTGAAAATGCAGAACCTAGGAAATTTTACAGTCCCTGTGGTTTTTATCACACTCATTTACATACTTAGATTGGTGCGATATTTTTTCTTTAAACAAACTTATTATGACTCTGTGTCAAAATAGTAAAACTCAAAACCGGACACTGAGACATTGGACCTTCCAGCCCGGTGTAAAAAATGATGCATCGGACCTGAGGTTTTGTACATCGGTCAGGTCTGACGGTCTAATGTTTTTTGCATAGACTGAAGTTCCTGCAAGAAACTCACTTGGTACAGAAGGATGTATGAATTTGATAATGATTACAGAGCCCTCATCAAATCGTAAATTTTTTGTCATATCAGTCCAGAGCAGTTCCAGGTGGGCCCAAATTGATCATATTAAAATTGAGTAGCTAATACTCCGTTACTGTCAAAACCCATGGACCTCTCGTTACCTTTTAATGATCCTTTGTTGTGTCATTCTGAGCTTTTTTAAAAAAGAAATTCAGTAAGGTTGACAGTTATCCATTTATTTTACAGGACTAAGTGAGAGAAGAAATGGCAGAGAATCCAGAGGCTAGTGAAATAATCTATATTCAGCTCTCCAGTCCAGGGGAAACATTTCCTCAAGATATCAACAATGTGGTTATGTCTTCTTCAAATGTTGGGAACATTGCTATTCCTATTGGAACTGTGTCTCCAGAACCTGATACTGACATTGCAATGGGTAATACAGATCAGATTACTGGAAATGTCACAAATGAAGAGAATCCAGTCCCGTTACAAAATGATAGCCAGGAACCCCCAACCCAGGCTACTGGGGAGGGGCTGACAATCTCAGAAACAAATAACAATGCTCTCTTCACTGGGGGAGACCCTGGTACAGTAGACTTACCTGTCCCAGTTTCAGCTGATGTGGATCCACTCCCCCAGGAGACTCTCCAGGAAGCTGTGCCCACAGTAACAGATGAAGAAACACCCAGTGTGATTGGTATAACACATGCTGATGGTCTTCTTAGTGTAGATATTCCATTATCAGAAGTCATAGCCGATCCATCTACAACACAGACATCTGATGTTGTTAACACTGAAGACATTGCTGAACCATCTACCACACAAACTTCCGTTGTAGTTAACACAGCAGAAGAAACACACCCAACAAATACAGACATTCATGAAATGAGTATCGCACCTATTGTGACAAATGCTGAAGTCACTCCATCAAAACCTCAACCTAAGATTATCCTAAATACAAACACACAGGTTTCACCAAGCCCATTATCATCATTATCTGAGAAAAATGTCACTGTCCCCCCAGGGATACGTATACAGACATACCTCGATGACCAGGTGGCATACAAGATCACCACAAGTGATGTAACAGAAGCCATTTCTGCCGTAAGAACCACTTCTTCCAAAGTTAACACTACAAAACCATTAAATCCTACAACAGCAACCGCCAAACCCACTCATCAATTGGTTGTGACCTCAATGGGTCTAGTGAGAAAGGCTCTCATTCCAGATTCCCCACCGGCAGACTCTGTAGCATCGACTCAGAAGTTAGTGTCACCAATCAAAGTCACCAAAAAACCAGAGTCTGTGCCAACCATATCAGAGAATACAATACAGACATTCACCTTGACAGACACACATCCATCCACTGGTCCTCTGATTCCAGAGAACGAGATGATCCAGAGTTCTCAGATAGAACATCTCCAAGGGGAGTCTATCACTGGAACGAGAGTGAAGGAGTCTGATAAACAACAGGGGAATAAAGCAACAGAGAACATGGAGGTAGGCAGCTACATGACTGTAGAACCACTGAAGAAAGTGAAAGATGAACCCAAGAGTGGGGATGAGATGGCTTCTCCAACAAGAAAAAGTTACAGGGCACCGAAGAGGAAGGTTGTTAAAGACTATGAAGAGATTGGTGGAGCTCAGGAAGACGAGTCAGCACCTGTTAAGAAAAAAGCAAAGACAATGACGGTGACTGCACCAGCCAAAAAACCCGTCAAAGGTAAGAGAGGAAGAAAGGCAGGCCCTAAAGAAGGGAAATTGACTGTAGAGGAGGTGTACAAGAGTGGAGATGATGCTGAAGAAGATGACGGCAATGACTTTCTGAAAGTTTGCATGGTTAAATGTGACAAATGTGACAAACACTTCTTGGACAAAAAGAAGTTAGCTCTTCATAAAAGACAGGTACATAAGACTAAGAGGAGTCCACGAGGTTCTGGCAAGGAACATATTTGTGAAGTTTGTGGTTACGTGTTTAAAAGACGTGAACATTGGCGTAGACACAAAGAAGTTCATCAGAGATCAAGACCCCATACTTGTGAGGTGTGTAACAAGACATTCAAACGTGCAGAGCACGTCAAACGACATCAGAGTGTTCACTTAACAACCAAACCTTATCCCTGCATGGAGTGTGAGAGTGCCTTCACAAGGCCCGATCATCTTACAAAGCATATGCTACTGCATAGTGATCCTAAAGGATATAGACAGAGGCAGCAGGCAAAGAAAAAGAAAGGAAAAACGGGAAAGGGGAGACCCAAGGGAAAAGGCTCTAAAATGATTAAGACCATGCCTAGAGGTCGTGGAAAGGTCACTGTTCAACTGAGAGCTACCGTCAAGTCCACAAATGAGGAGGATTTTGAGTATGGAGATTTTGAGGAAGAGTTTCAGGATTTAGAGACTGATGAGGGAGATCTTTTATCAACTGATGAGGAGGATGCCGTATATAATGAAGCAAAAGATAGCGGTTCATTGGAAAAGGTTTACTGAAAAGGAACCAATCAAATGTCAGACAAACATACATACCAGTCACCTGGAAAAGGTTTACTGAAAAGGAACCAATCAAATGTCAGACAAACATACACACCAGTCACCTGGAAAAGGTTTACTGAAAAGGAACCAATCAGATGTCAGAAAAACAATTTCTGTATTCAACTTTATGTTATTCAATATCCTAGTGAGGATTCATTAAAAACATTGTCATTCAATGAAACCGAGTCATAATCCTATTGAAAAGAAAGAGATCTGAATACACTGATGAAGTATAATATGTACATTTGGTAGGACCAAGTGTTTAAATAATTAGGAATCATGTTTATTTGTATATGATACAAGTTCTAACGTATTGCATCATGTCAAAAACAAAAAAATATAATTTTCAAAATTGAAGTAGTACATCTGGAAAATTTAATTACTCTACTGTTATATTTTAAAATATACATATGGAAACATTGTAAAATCATTTTCAGCATAACTTTTTTCTGTTTTAAAATATCATAAATTTCATTTTCATGTTGAATTATGCAAATGATTTAAAATAATAATGTTGACATGAAAAACATGTAAATAAACTGCAGGCTTTTATGTTAGGCAAAACATTTTATGAAGAATAAAATTCCTTTATAATAGTGTAGTTGGGTTGTAACTCCCTTCATTAATTTGAAGGTTTAGATCATGAGTGTTCCATATCTTTGTCTACTTCACTGCATTCCGTCATTTCATGTACTGGTACTGTAAACCAACTATTATTCAGAACAGCTTCTTTTTTCTTGATTCTTCATTTTCTTGCATGTAAAGAAAAGTTGTTTTACAGTAAACTGAAATACAAATCTTTCCTTTGAAAATGTGAAAGGAGCAAATGTAAATTTTACTGCGCAAGTTGAGATTTTTTAACAAGTCTAAGTACGATTCACTTAACATTCTAATATTCCTTTGAATCTTGGTTATAAAACGTGTTAATTCTCCATTTAGAGCCTCTTATAGATGGTATTAAGTTAGTGCACTAATGTTTTAGTACAGTCCCATGAATGAGTTGATATGTGTGTGATAGATTTCACATATGCGATAAGGAAAAGCTGTACTTAATACTGCATTGATTTTGCTCGTCTCTTGTTTTTCACAATCATTTTCCCTCCATTCAAAATTAGATTTTCTGACATTTTTGTTAATCATTTTTTATTATTTCATTGCAGTTGAAAATAAAGAAAGGTAAATACAACAAATAAACTTCGAGCTGAAAAGCTCTTGAGCTTTCAGCTCTAGTGAGCAAAAGAAATGCAGACAAGGAAAATTACTTTTTGTAAACATCATAGTAAATTTATGGACCCTCTTATGGTTCTAATTCAGTATCAATGCCTCCAGTATCTAGTTGTTTGGGAGTTCTCCGAGTTTGAGATGCATCGATTTAACTGCATCTACGTACATGATTCTCATTTTGCTGAGATTCTAAGTCGGTTAATTTTTGTGCAATACTGTCAACCAACTACTGGTATTATTTGTGACTTCTGGGACACAGGAAATATTCCACATTAAAAGATATACATGTAGTTTGCGGTGAGAAATAATCACGGAAAAAGGTTGCAAAACTTGCTGATAATATTGCTTCCTGCACACATTTACAGTTTAGCTTTACTCTCTCAATAAAATTGTATTTCTACAAGCCTCATGAAAATATGCACATGCAAAAATTAAAGTGACATAGAATCCAAGCAAAATGAAATTTTCAAAGAAATAACAAATTTTATATACAAGCTGTGACATTTTAATTATTGCTTGATGAACAAAGCTTAATAATTGTCATGATCCAGAGTTTATTACATTCACATCTTTAACTGTGGAATGAGTAATAGGTACCACCAAATTATCAGGTGTGTCCACCCCTTGATTTGGTAAATGTTCAGCATTGATTTATCATCCTTGGATCCACCACTTGATTTAGTAAATGTTCTACACTGATTTATCATCCTTGCATCCACTCCTTGTTTTGGTAAATATTCTATTATGTTTATCATCCTTCAGTTGAATCCATCCATTGCTTTGGTAAATGTTCTATACTGTTTATCAACCTTGGATCCACCCCTCTATTTACTCAGCAACCACCCCATGTGAGGCGAGCCACGTGATCGGTTTTCCTCTTGGTGGGTTTCACAAATCCTAGAAACTGAAGTTCAGACACAGCCCTGATAAATCTGGCTCTGGGGACAAGTTAAGGTGGAAAACGAAATTTGTTTAGCATGGAAAAATTCATCACAGGGCACCTGCTCAATAACAGCAGGCATGGAATGTTACTGTAAAACTTAGCAGCTTTGTTATTGATTGTAAAATGTAATCACTCACTCATTTATAAGACACTGCAAATGGAAGACTTAGTGTTTACACAAGACATTAATTATGAAAATTTTAATGTCTTTCCTTTGTATAAATTGTGTATTCTAAGAAAAAAAAAACGTGATAAGAATACTGTAAGGTTGAAATATCTACAGGGTAAAATTTTGTGATTTGCTTTGTAACAAAGCATTCAATTGGGGGTTATTTTTGCAGAAAGTTGACTTTTTAGTGTTTGATTGAAGTTTTGTCAGAACAGTTTTGTTTTTATATTTCCGGTATGGAAATGGTGGTTTACAAAATGTGTTGGTTTGTTATTAAGTATGGTATCTTTTATCAAAACTTTCATGTGGTGATGAATTTTGAGAAACTTGACTCATCTCAAACTTCTACCCAAACTTTGCAAAAATCAAATTATTTCCATGTTTACAGTAGAGTGATGTTTACAGTAGAGTGAAGTTTACAGTAGAGTGAAGTTTACAGCAGAGTGATGTTTATAGTAGAGTGAAGTTTACAGTAGAGTGAAGTTTACAGTAGAGTGAAGTTTACAGCAGAGTGATGTTTACAGTAAAGTAAAGGATACTGTAATTCCTTGTCTGGGTTCTTGATCTTGTCTTCATTTAATTCTTCATCAGACGTCACCACAGTAGCAAAAGCCTGTCAAAACAAATATGCTGAATATTAAAAGCATTTATGACTCATAGTTATTCCCCTTTATGCTGATAGCAATAAACATAATGAAATAGAATTTTTAGGTACCATGAAATTTAGATTCTTTTCAAGCTGTTTTCAGTATGAATTATTTACCTGTAGCCAATCATACAAATTTATAAGCTGCGTACACTCTAGGTGAAGTTTATATGCAATACAGATGTCTGGCATGGATGGAGTTATGGAACCTGACTCAGAATTGCAGCATTCACACTGGGAGAAAAAAGAAGATGTAAGAAATAGCTGGTTATTTACAAGTACATTACTCCTCCTAGACAAAAAAATAAGGAATTTGTAAAATACAATAAGCAAGAGATATGCATCGCCTGTCCTGTTGCAATAAGGAGGCAGATATCCCCCCCCCCCCTTGTCTGATGGTATTTTCTCGATATCAATTTACCTATTAAATGAACAGAACAAACCTGCAAATAGTGATGAGGTGAACTGAGTGCCATCTGGACAACAGATCTTGGAGAGGCATTACAGTGTCGCTTAATCTCCCCCCAGGCATCATAGTAAAATATCTCATAGAGGGGCAGGGAGGAGGGGCAAAGCAAGTACCTCCTATGCAGTGAAAAAGTACAAGCTGGTTAAAACATTGTTCTGTATCAGAGGATTAAAGATTATATGTACATACACATGCTTCCATAATTTCTTCAAACTGTACCTGAATAACTCATCAAAGAAATCTATAGCTTCATTTCTCAACTTTTCATAAGGAGATAATCTCTTCTTCTTCTTTCCTTCCTCTTGTAATCTCTGAAATATTTATTGAATCTCAAAATAGGCATTACCATATTTGGCCAAATATAATATGCACTTTTTTCCTAGAATATTTTTCTGTAAGAAATGGGTACGTATTTTACACCCCAATAGGATTTTGACAAGTTTTTCTTTCAAGTGAAACACAGCCATCATACGGACATACCATAGTATTTACTAGAGACATAGCCAATGTCTTGTTTTACCGCTATATTTAAAACTATAGAAAATTATTGATGGAATGTGGTTTTCTTCTTGTTCAGATCATGACACTCATGGGCCACAAAATTCATAGAAATAATACAGCTTTCTCTCCCATCTCTCTCTCTCATGAGATAACTGTTCTAGTTACTAGACAGATCATACATATCTACTGGTACAAGGGCCATTCAAAAATTACCCCGACTTGTTGCACAGAAAATATATTTGACGACATAATCAAGCAAAAAGTCATACATAATATATAAGAATCTTTTCATATATGATCATCAAATTTTCATATCAAAATATTGTAAATTAGTATCAATTTCAAGTGATTTAACAGGACATCTCATGAAGTCATGGCACAGTAAAACTTTCAACGTCACGGGCATTTTAAAAAATGGGAGCTTTCATTTTCTCAATATTTTCCCTTAGTATTTGATACTGTATAGTTTTGGTTACCTTATCCACTCAGAATAAACATCCATATACCATTTCCGATTCAGCTTAAAAACTATAAAACTATCATTGTGTGTTTTAGTCTGTGTTAAACCCCAAAACTGCAGATATTTCTGAAGTAAGGTTTGACATCAGTCGATCTCAATCACATTCTTAACAGCCCAGATAAGTGTTTTGTCGATGAACTTCTTCCATTCCTCCCGTATTGCCTTTTGACTAAGGTCTATCAGCCTAAAATTCTTTTTTACATTTTGTAGAGATGTGTCGGATATTTCGCTGGTTTACTACATGTTTCATTAGGATTATTCTGGGTCTCTATTGGTGTTTTCCCAGCATGATTCATGATTTGATAGAAGTGTGCTGCTCCGTCAAATCACGAGACGTCATTTTTTGCAGTTGATATCATAGGGGTCACATCGGAGAAAAATTACAATTATATTTCTGTTAGTACTTCAAATATTACGCCAGAAATCTAAATACTTAATAATAAAACAATAAACATAGGTAATCAAAGATTACGAAGCTCACCTTGACAAATGTTATCAGTAAAAGTAATGCAAATCTCACATATTTTCTTTATAGTTAGTGTGCATCCTGAAAACAATATTCATGCAAGTTCTGTGTAAGTAGGTCTTATAGTTCGTTGGGAATTGACCTGTTCCAAAAACTTTAACCTGTTCACTAATCAAGAAAATGTCTTTCATTTCCTACATCCGAAGCAAGTCTGGAATGCACCATCTATGCAAGTTAAATCATAACAGGCCATGTGAATAATAATAGAGCTACTCCAAACACACTGTCATGGTTACTCATTTGGAAAATATATGTGTCATATCCAGCATCTGAAGCAAGTCCAGTAGTGCCCATCCCTAGATACATCATCCATGCAAGCTGGTCCAGGTAGGGCTTATAGTTACTTGGGAATGGATCTGCTCCAAAAACTTTAACCTGGTCACTCATCTGGAAAATGTAGGTCAGATCCAGCATCCGAAGCAAGTCTGGGAGTGTCCATCCCTAGATGCATCATCCATGCAAGTTTGGTCCAGGTAGGGCTTATAGTTACTTGGGAATGGACCTGCTCCAAAAACTTTAACCTGGTCACTCATCTGGAAAATGTAGGTCAGATCAAGCATCCGATGCAAGTCTGGTAGTGTTATCCCTAGATGCATCATCCATGCAAGTTTGGTCCACGTAGGGCTTATAGTTACTTGGGAATGGACCTGCTCCAAAAACTTTAACCTGGTCACTCATCTGGAAAATGTAGGTCAGATCCAGCATCCGAAGCAAGTCTGGTAGTGTCCATCCCTAGATGCATCATCCATGCAAGTTTGGTCCAGGTAGGGCTTATAGTTACTTGGGAATGGACCTGCTCCAAAAACTTTAACCTGGTCACTCATCTGGAAAATGTAGGTCAGATCCAGCATCCGAAGCAAGTCTGGTAGTGTCCATCTCTAGATGCATCATCCATGCAAGTTTGGTCCATGTAGGGCTTATAGTTACTTGGGAATGGACCTGCTCCAAAAACTTTAACCTGGTCACTCATCTGGAAAATGTAGGTCAGATCCAGCATCTGAAGCAAATCTGGTAGTGTCCATCCCTAGATGCATCATCCATGCAAGTTTGGTCCAGGTAGGGCTTATAGTTACTTGGGAATGGACCTGCTCCAAAAACTTTAACCTGGTCACTCATCTGGAAAATGTAGGTCAGATCCAGCATCCGAAGCAAGTTTGGTAGTGTCCATCTCTAGATGCATCATCCATGCAAGTTTGGTCCAGGTAGGGATTATAGTTACTTGGGAATGGACCTGCTCCAAAAACTTTAACCTGGTCACTCATCTGGAAAATGTAGGTCAGATCTAGCATCCGAAGCAAGTCTGGTAGTGTCCATCTCTAGATGCATCATCCATGCAAGTTTGGTCCAGGTAGGGCTTATAGTTACTTGGGAATGGACCTGCTCCAAAAACTTTAACCTGGTCACTCATCTGGAAAATGTAGGTCAGATCCAACATCCGAAGCAAGTTTGGTAGTGTCCATCCCTAGATGCATCATCCATGCAAGTTTGGTCCAGGTAGGACTTATAGTTACTTGGGAATAGACTTGCTCCTGAAACTTAACTGGGACGCCAACGCCAACGCCGGGGGTATAGCATAAGCTCATCTCGCCTTCGTCGAGGTGAGCTAAAAAGAAATTTTAGAGAAAATTGTTGAATAATATCGTGAAATATGGAAAATAAATGAATAAAATTTTGGATACCGCATGTTTGTTTTTCAACATTTTTGCCGTGCTCTGTATATCACCATCAGCAGTATCAAAACGGCAATAATTTTAGGAGATAATAAATGAAATCAAAAATTTTTACCAAGAATTTTTTGGAATTTTTAAGAAATTTGTTCCTGTGAAATTTCAATTCTATATGACGTCTGTAAGAGTAAATAATAGCAGAGTCCGCGTAATTTTTGAACGGCCCTTGTATATTAATGATTGCATGCATCAATTTAAAAAATAACTTTTTTTCTGCAGAATGATTATATACATTTGTTATAACTTGAACAAACTTGAATCTGCACTATAATATGTATTAAATACAAAGAAAGCTGATCTTTTAACATTAACAACCTTTCGTAGAGTGTGAAGGTCTGTTTTCTCGAGATGAAGAGCTTCCTCAGTGCTGCCCTCTGGTGCCTCCTCCTCTGTTACTTCTGTCAAATCAACACAATTATTACTGAAAGGCACTCTGATGCAGGCATAAAATAAATAGAAGAAACTTAGTGAGAAAAAAGATAAATTTCTCCTTTATAAATGTTTCTGAATTCCTCTTCTAAATTTTACTTCTCATTTTAAATGTGCCTCATCTGCGGACACAGACTGTGTATTGTCTCACCATCAATCTTCACAAACTTTTCCAGCAGAACTTCCAGATCTGTAGGGAGCTGAGTCAGGTCAGAGGGCAGGTCCCCCTCCAGGGAGGAACGACACTGCTGTATAAGATCCACCAACTCATCCTTAGATGTCAGCCTATACCAATGAGAGAGAATCTATGCTCTAACAGGTGGATATGGATGAATGGGGTTATTAAATTGTGTGTGTGTGGAAGGAGGAGGGTGTGGGATGGAGAGGGGGGTATCACAGACTTGCGATACTTACCGGAGTAGTTCTAAGCACTCTTTGTAATCTTCTGAATCACAGATAAAAGATTTCAACACCCTGGAGTACACCTCACGAATCTACAACAGTAACACATTAATACCTTCAATGATTCAACTTTTTATGTGTTTGAAATGTTAAACATTCAATTGTTTCATCAAGAACACCATGGAACAAATATTGATTGTAATGTGAACATAGTTATTAAGTGCTGCTTAATGCTCAGTTCACTTTTAGAAATAGCTATAAATGCTGTTAGAGTACATAAATATTGAAATACGTGTAAAATATACACATTGAAATTTACAGTTTCTCTATGACGGATTATCTGGCATACCTGTTTCCCCAATGGGTGTTTTGGAATTTTGGAAACCATGATGTGGAGACATTTCAGGACTGGATACAGTAGGGAGTGGTAAGTATGAATTCTCTTCAGCAAAGCCGCAAATTCTGTCTGCAACCAAATAAAGGCTTCAGCAAAACCATATATTCTGAGTTATGAAATAAAGACTTATGCAAAACCATAAATTCTAACTTCTACCAAATAAAGACTTATGCAAAACCACAAATTCTGACAGCAACCAAATGAAAACTTTAAGTATAAAGGTAAATTTTAGCAATTGCCTAATTTTTATGGAATTCTGCAGTTTTGCAAAAGTCATAAAAATAGAATTGCAAAATTTTCAAATTCCGTTTTCATGGTAATGCAAAATGAATGGAATTTCCCAAATTGCAAAAAACAGAAATTTGAATTGTAAAGGGTCATATCACAAATTCATATCGCAGAATTCCATTACATGGTTCACATTCCGAAATAGGTTAAATCAAACCTGTAATCAAGTTATTTGCGTTTGCCCCATCCCCCCAAAAATACATGTTTTTCCCCTTTATGCAGAGACTTTAACTAAGATCTACACTGATGATACAAACCTCTAATATGAAGTTAATTCCAGCAACACATCACTATAATTACAGGCTTGATATCAAATTTGTCTCCCTATATCTGCATTTATATATGAAAATGATTATAGAAGGAAAAAAAAAATATTTTTCTGTAATTACAGTTCCTAACTTTAGTACCTTTGTGACTTTATCATTTAACAGCATGTCTTCTTGTTTAGATGGAGGACATCCCTCAACAAATCTGAAAAAGGTGAGTTCAACTTTAACCCCAACAAGTTCTGCATAATCAAATCTCTACTGATGATAAGCTTGCTTTTGAATTGGCTCTTTTTAAAGATTAAGAGGAACACTGCCTAATTATTATTATGAAAGAAATTGGTCAGGACAGGCATTTTAGTTACTAGAGAATGGACCTGCTTCAAAAATGTTAACCTGGTCACTCATCTAAAGATGTAGGTAAGATGCAGCATCTGAAGCATGGCTTGCATTACCATGTAAACATCTGTAGGTGCATAATCCATGCAAATTAGGTCAAGGCAGGGCTTAAAGTTACTTGGGAAATGGAATGCCTTCAAAAAACATGGGATGGCAATGCAAGGGGTAGAGCATTTGCTTGACTTGTTGAGGTGAGCTAAAAATCAATTCTTTAAGGTCTGTAATTAATTAGTTGAGCATTATCTGAGTTAAACAGCATCTGAGTTAACTAATGTTTAAGTTCACAGTGTCTGTTGAACAGTGTTAAAAATGAGTTGAGGAAACTGTACCCCCTGAAGGACATGAGTCGCCTGACTTGTTCCACTTGTTTTGGCTTTAGACTCATCACTCGATCCCCCAGTTCTTCCAGGGGACAACAAAGATGGCTGACAGGAACTGTGAAGAAGTGATCCTGCATTGCAAACTATGACAAAGAATTATAAACAACGATATACTGATATCAAACCATCACTGTAATTCCAAATGTTCATGTGTTTGTATAAAACAGTGTCACAGAAACACCTATGGTCAATGAGAATTTTTTGGGTACAATATATTTCTTGGAAAGCTAATTTTACTTCATTATGACAAAGTACAAAGTATTTTTGGATGCAAAGTTTTTGTGTTGAAATTCAAATTTTGAAGACTCAATAACAATTAATAAACGTATTTCAACAGTTAAATTGATGTTAAATATGTTAAATTGATGTTAGATATGTTAAAATATGTATCATCAGACTTCACAAAAAAGGACATACCTGGAGTCCCTTGATAAAATTGAGTACAGAGAAGTCATGGTACAAAAAGATGTCCAACAACAGCTGGAAGACTTTAGATCCAAGCTTGAATGGGTACACCGAGGTCATCAATATCTGAAATATCAGTGAAACTTAACCATTGTAACTTCTATTTTGATTTTTTGTATACAAGCCAGTTTTTCTGCTTAAGAAACCTGAAATGATAATACACATGTATTGAAGTATTCTGTGAAAGATGAACAACATACATGTATCAAGGCTTGTTGATAATTACACATAAGACTTTTATAAATGTCCAAAAATAAACCCTCCCAACTCAAGAGTGTAATATATTTCAATAATATGGAACCAGGTTGATAACCACAGTTTGATATTCTGTGCTATAGCTGACCTAAAAGGAAGTAGGTTACTGAAATACTTTACCTGGATTGTCTTATCTGATCGAAAACCATAATGAGATAATCTGTGGATGTGTTCACCCAAATTATCCTACCTGGTTGATGACCATATTAAGGTACTCTGTAGAGGGGGGTGCCTGGAACTTTTCCATACACAACATTGATGACACAGCATTGGGTAAGAGTCGATGAACAGCTGACACTGATGTAGCAATGCCAAACACAAATACAAGTGGAAGGTCCCATATGTAGTTCCTATCAAATACAAAATATAAAAACAAAAAAAAAATAATTTTAAGTTTTATAAACTGTGATTCCAGTAAAAATATGTGAAATAATTGGTTGTAGCTTAGAAAAATGTGATACATTGTAACAAAACAGTTGTTTCTCTTGCTAGATGGAAGGATAAAGTTGAATAAGTAATTTTACAAAAAAAAAAATTTTAACAAAAATTAAACATTAAAAGGAACAATTTCACAAACTTACATTTATTAAACAATTTACTTACACTTTGAATTACCAACAGTTTCTTACCTACATATAGAAATAAAGTCCTGCAGAATGTGAGGAAGAAAACACTCCAAGTCCTCAAACAGAATAACAATGGGTGGAAACTGCCCCAAATCTCTGGATCCACCACTGACAGACTTTCTCTTTTTTGGACTAGAGTTACTACTCTGCATAATTAAGAAATAAATACTTGAAACTGAGAGCTTTTCTTTTTTTGGATTATATAGCAACATCCAGGAAGTTTTGCTGGAAAATAAAAACAGAGCCTAAAGATGAGATTTTATTTTCCAATAAAATTTGGAGATACAATTAAAGGCATAAAATCTCAATAATTCTGAAATTCTGCTACAGCTACAAAATTTGTATCTCCCACCAGAGAAAAAGTAGAGGAATTTCATGACAGTTTATACTGGAAATTTTACACTCTGTTCAGGACTTTGATGTAACTGCAGTTACTGTACAATATAAAGTCACACTGGCATGGCAAAACATTCACTATATATGCAACTTATTCATTCTAACTAACAAACTATATCTTAAACTTCACCTAATTTTCTTTATACTGACACAAACAAGTTCAAGGTTCCTTACGGAGTATTTGTCTTGATACCAGGATACAAGGGTCGCCATGGAACATGTCATATTTCTGGTTTTATGGGGTACATCATCCTCTTCTTCTGAAAACTTTAGAAAAGGGAATAATGTTTATATTCTCTTTTTAGTATGGTGACATACAGTATGAGGAAAATAACTTTTACTATCTATATACACTCTCCATATAGTCTCCTATTCAAGAAACAGTGAATAATTTACATGTTAAAAGATCATAATATACACATCAAAGATATGCATATTATTTGTATTTTGCACTAATTTAATCATCTGTGGTTAAATATCAAAGGGAAAAACAAAAGTATACATCTTATCTTTTAAACCCCCCAACAAAGTATTTTATTATATTATACTTTCATGTAAATTAGTTGAATCTGATTCGTCGAGAAACATTTGTTAAAAAACACTATTACCCACTGAATAATGAAGCCATGCCCTCCAGCGTAGTAACAGTCAACATTGCTTGACAACAGGTGATATTTCAAAAAATATTGACTGCGCAGAAATTATGCGTGCAAGGTTCACTGTAATTTGTATTTGTATAAAACATTCTCGGCTGTGCCTCGGTTGACAATGATTTTCTTGGGGTGAAAATTTTCAATGTTACACTCAACTACATGCAATATTTATATAATATATACTGTATACAAGGTTATTTTCACCCCTTGTTATTTTCACCCTTTCACATTTGCAAACAATTTTGCCCCATTTTAAATTTGTCCAGTCACAGTTCTGTATAAGAAATTATGTTGTGTTCTTTGAATTCACCCCATTTTACATTCGCCCAACTGAGAGTAAGGCGAAAGGGGCGAAAATAAAATAGGGGTGAAAACTTCCCTGTTTACAGTATATCTTATTGATAATTGAGTTCTGTATCTGTAGTAATTTTCACCCTGTTTTATTTTCATTCAAAACACATTAACCAATAATTTCACCCCCACTTTTACATTCATCCAAAGCAATTTTGCTACTAACTATAGAGTAATGTGTCAAGACATTGAAAAAGCTGGAGAACAGAGAGAAAATACAGTGGACACAAAAATTGACAAGACATATTAATAAAACTTCAAGGTATGTGTAGCTATATATCTGTGTATATTTCCTTACCAACGATGTATTTTGGAACAGTTGAGTCAGGGTTTTACTCAGTGCATTTTTAACAGAATTACAGTCCTTAGATTTGAGAATGGCCACAAGGGGGCTGACTTTTTCTTGTAATGATGCTACTAAGTTTGAGAACATCACCCCATGGTCTGGTGTGTTTACCCCTATTAAAAAAAGTATGTAAACAAAAGTTTACAACATAAACCAGTCATACATGTAAATAAAGTGCACTGCTGTGGCACAGGATACATCAAATATTGTTTATCATAAACAGGGACCTATATACTAATGGGATAGGCAACTCTCGCAAGTCTCGCGATAGCTTATAAGTTGCGGGATTTCGTTTTGCTATCAAATATTTCAGAATAAAATCTTAATTTATCTATCAAAAAATTATTCAAGATTTGTTATTAGCACTGTTTTTATTCCTTATCTTAGTAGTAATTTCGTTTATTTAAAAATCAGTACGTGCCCCTGATCGGCCGTATTTCCGAGAAATCACCGATTTTGGTAGTTGTTTACTTAATATCTAATTTATTTTATAATATGTGCTTTAAAATTTATAAAATATCCATTCTGATATACAAAAAGAACAGATTACATTAATCAGAAAACAAGCTTTTTACTGGGGAAAAACTTAGTTTGAAAAACTTGCAGTGTTGTGTGTGCCGTTTTGGGTAAATAAACATGGCGCTGAAGGAGTTGCCTATCCCGTTAGTATATAGGTCCCTGTCATAAATAAATGTGCTCGGAAGAAAATCATGTCAATCTTGGTACAGATTTAAATGATTTTTCTGCTCCTAATGTTTGATGTGTATCTCTAATGCTGTTGTTACTAATTAGAACAAATAGTACATTGTATTTCTCAACTGGTTGTGTTGGTCTTGGAGTTACCCAATCTGCAGCTTTGTTCATTGTATTTTTTATAAATGATGAACAATGCCACAGCCTAATACTAATCACTTTATTTTTTTATTGGACTGTAAAACTCAATTGCAATTATCTATCATCTTAGTGAGCCATGACACTCTGCAGTTTTATTGTTGTGGAAAAAAAACAATAAAAATATTACATTAAACAATATCAAATTAATTTTATTAATTGTATACCAAATGAATTTAGAAAATAAAAGACTGGCCATCAAGAACTTTTTTTAATTTGACAGATGCTATCAATTGCAATTAAGAGGCTAGATCTTAAAATTCCTTTTGCCCAAATCTTGAAAGAAATGGAAAAAGATGGACAGTCAGACATAAATGATTGCCATATCACCTACATGTATGTCCCATCTGAAGACAGATGTATAAAAAAAATTAAAATGATTTTTAAACATACTGTTAATTTAAATTAGATAAATAAATCAAAAACTCCCATACTTCCTTACATTTCGACCAACATTGACTTTTTTGTAACAAATATTATTTGTAACAAATATTTACCAGTTACAAAGGCTGCAGTTGGTATCTCTTTTGATGTGCTGTCCACTTTAGCCCCTCCCAATATAAAAGACTCGTGTGACGATTTGGCAAACTTCATCAAATCATCAAATATCTTAGAATTCAAATCGGACCTCAAAATCTGAAATGTAAAACGTGCACTTGTAAAAGACATCACATTATCGGTGGCAAAATCCACTCTCCTTCTCCTTTGAAGCCTATCTCTACGTGCATATCTCAGATTCATAAAAATGGGATTTTTTAAATAAATATCATGATGTAATCAGACATAATTAAATTTAAGTGAAATATGAGCAGTATAAGGTACCTGAATTTGGGTGTCCATTAATTCCCAGGTCTCCTGAAGAACATCTAATCGCTGCTTGTGAGTTCCCACATTATCAAATCTCCCGAAATACTGGTCTAAGAGAGAAAAATGATTTTCATTAATCAAGAAATAATAAAATGTGAAATATTAGGGGAAGTATATCAAGAAGATATGTAATTACCATAGATACCTTATTTGACATGAGTACCTAACATCATGAAATGACTCAAAGATACTAAATTGCAAGAACAGGATTTCTCAAATCAAACCTCGTTATCTCGAACTTCACAGGACCAAGAAAATTCTTTGAGATATCCGAGGATTCAAGATATCCAGGATAAAATACTTAATAAGCACTTGGGACTTCAAAATCACTTCGACATATGCATGGTATTCGAGATATCTGTGTTCAAGATACCGAAGTTCAACTGTACTTCAGGAATATAATAACAAAAGAGAGTAAATTTATTTTGCAAAGTAAGTGGAACTTTTTGTGAATCTAATAATAATGTGATAATGAATTCCTTGTGTTTGTCTACAAATCTTCAGTAATATGTAACACAATATAACTTTTGCATTCAGCAGTATTATAAACTAGTTGAGAGCTTTATTATAAACTATTTAAACACAATTAATGTATATTTCATGATACACAAAGGATAAAATGATAATACTGTACCTGCATCCATGGTTTTTTTCTTGCCTTTAAATGCAAAAGTTCCCTGTAAATGATAGAGTGTGAACAAATATTATGTGGACTGGTTGTAAATGTATTTTATTAAATGTTTTCAATATACTATTTTTTTTATCTGTGGTGTTACGAACTATTTCTAAAACAACACAGTAAATTTTGTGGCCTTTACTGATGAAAATCATATTCTTAAGATCTTACACAAGGAAATAACCAATCAAAATGAATTAGCCAATAGTGTTTATATATATGTAAGACTCAAAAGTGTAATGGGACTCCAAAGTCCGATGGTCACGCCAAAGTCTGACGGTGTGGAAAACCAATCAATGTTTATGATGTCATAGCACTAAGTAATACCCCAAATTGCGATGCCTGCCAAAGTCTGGTGGTTTATAAATAAATAAAATGAAATATTAAATATTTGATTGTGGAAGTGATTGGTTCACTAGAATACACCAAAATTTAAATGTACTACTCGAGTGTTTGGGAGACTAACCCTTATCTGTGGGATGGGTGTACGACTAACCCCAATCCCTCAAAAAGTGTGCAATAAATAACCTATTCCTAGTTATCTTGGGTGGGAGAAAGACTAACCCTAATCAGTCAAATAGTGTGCAATAACCTACCCTAAATCTCTGTGGTGGGTACGAGACTAACCCTATTTAATCAAAAAATGTGCAAGGACTAATCCTAAATCTCTTGGTTGGGTTAAAACCCTTATCAGTCGAGTGGTGTGTGAGGACTAACCCTTGTATACTATCTTAGGTTGGTGCAAGCAATAAGCAAAATCAGTCAAATTGTATGCGAGGACAAATTCTAGATTATTGGCTTTTGAATTACAGACAATGGCATCAAGGTGTGACTTCATATCATTGTGACATCATAAACCTTGATTGTTTCTCCTCACCATCGGACTTTGGCATGTCAGACTAGCACTTCAGGGCAGCCCGTCTCATGGAAACAAGCCATCGCGCTTTGGCATGACCATCAGACTTTACTGAGAGTCTAGTTAATTAATTAATGTAAGACTATATAGTAACAAATAGTGAAATTATTTCCTTGTGTGAGACCTATTAAGCCAGTCATGTTTAGCAACCTCAAAATTTAAAGTGAATGTCATGTTTTGCCTCAACACAGTTGCATGTCAGATTATAGTTCCATTCCTCCTTAGTTTTTTCAATCTGGGGCTAATATTTAAACAAATTTTTTTTTCAAAACATCGAATATACCTTTCATCAGACCGAGGTTAATTTCTTGATAAGAAAGTTTAAGTCAGATTATATTTGATGAAGACAAAAAAAATCATGTTGTAAATATTGTTTCAGAAAAGGCATTCTGCATGATCAGTCTGCATGTTGTATTAAACAAAGTAAAAATATTAAAAAGTGATGGTTTTAATTCTTGTAAAAGCTTTTAATTTCTAGGATAAAAGTATTCATAAACTATGAATGATAAAGTGAAGTTTTACCTTTGAAACTGATGAACCTGTTTCCATTTCAATATTTTGCGGGAAAATGACAGAAAAAGATCTCCATTACAAAAGAGTTCCTATCATAGTCTTCGTTGCGCTTGCTCTTACGTGTAGTGGTCTCGGATGTCAAAAATAATTATCAACATTGAATTAATTTTCTTTTATTCAGTGTGACTATGTATCTTATGATATTTATATTTATTGCTGTAATACTGTTTCAATTTTTACCTAAATATTCCCAGAAAATATCAGTTTTAGTAAGTATTTTAACTATATTTCCCGTTTCTCACCATTTTTATTTTGTAATTTATAACACGGACTTAGTGCTTCTGAAAAAATCAAGGACATTCAGCTCAAGATGTATGCTACAGTTTAAATCTCCATCACTGTAGGCACAGTTCCAGGTAGATGAATCCCCGTTTCAGCTTCATGAACATTTTTATTCAAAATACTGTTTTGCAGTCCTGAATTGTAGTACGTATAAAATTAATGAGCCTGTGACTGTGTGCTTGTTGGCACAGTAAATATGATGGTCAGTGCAGTTGTAATTACAAGTATATAAACTTTGGTATCTCTAAGATTGATATATTGAGTACCTTAGATATGTTAAAGTGACATGGAAGTCCCAACTTTTTCCTTCTATATTTTAATCTCAATATCCCGAATCTCTGAATATCTCAAGGTTTTTACTCAGTCCCACCAAGTTTTAGATAATGAGGTTTGACTGTAATTGTCTTATTTGGTGGTTGTATTAGTGGTATTCAATGTATTAAAATTACATAGAAGAGTGTTATCCATAAAAGTGTAAACTCTTTGCTGGTAGATTCACCTAAAGAATTTGACTGACAATTCACAATACGAAAAAAAAAACCATTTTCTCAATATTATTTGGTATCACTGTCCATACTCTGACCTCTTAGTCATAGTAAACTAGTTTTTTCACTAAATTCCACGTTTTTCATGTCAACATAGTGAATGATATTATTGTTGACATTCATCAGCCACTATTATAATTTGCAGTGAAGTACAAAACATAATACATCATCATCATATCTGATATGTGTCGATATTTTTTACTTTTATTGGGTATTTGGTTATGCATTTCAGATAAGTAAAATTGTCTACAAAGTTACAGATGGTGAAATAAATATCCGCTCCGAAATCAAGGACCTTAAGGTAGAACAAGATACAATAAGTATGACAGAGGAATTTGCAAAGTATGCCAAAATACAGCGTAAAATAGATAAACACACAGCAGAAATTAAACGGTTAGGTATGTATTTCTCAAAATGATGTAGCGATTTATATTGTACAGCATTTTGTGATAGAAAGTTTTAACGGTTAACCGCTTTCAATTTTCTCTTCACAGCTACAGCACGTAATAACAAAATAGCTGTCATTAATATAGGGGTTAAAGTTGGAATATATGTTGTTCAGGTAAAACATTTTTTATTAAAAAAGTTGTGATGCTTTGATATTTTGGGCATTAATATGGGTATTGTTAACTTTTGAAATGCAAAAGAGGCTGAATAATCATTGTTTATAAGGAGTCATCTCCCTTATAGTCTTAAATACTATAGTATTTGTCATCAACAATTTTAAAGATCTAAGTATACACTGTTGAAAGTTAATTTGTTTATTTTCTCATAATAATTTCATGAATTATTTTGGGGGGTAGATCCTGTATTAAATGATAGTGGTTATTTGATTATATTAGCAATGCAATAACACTAAATAAAAATATCAAATTAAAACAGTAATTGTGTCTGCATTTATTTAGACTTCATTGAAGAGTTTGTAAAAATACTTTCACTGAAAATTTTAATCCTCCATTGACAGTATTATACTTCTTTTTAGGCATTAACAATGTTGGTGATCATTTTAACGAACAGAAGTGAGCCATTATTAATGTTCCCAGAGAGCTGGTTTTACCCATTTCATAAAATTGTATCTTTTCCAACAGGGGTTCCAGGTAAATAATAAAAATATTGATTGGGCCATCTTTAAAAATTGTTTGTGTGCCCTCTCCCTACTGACTGACTAAAAATGGCCCCGACTCAAAACTTTTTTAAACCTTCAGGCATTTTTCATCCCTCAACAACTATTTTAATTTAATTAATACACTGTATCTTCAGCAGTTTCAATAAATTGTGAAAATTAAGTATTGATGTTGAAAAATTTCTGAAAATATTTTTTTCCCAACTTATCTACCTACCCATTTTTTCCACCCTGAATCAGGAGAGAGCAAGCACACATTTTTTTAATGATGGCCTTGAATAAATATTATAGAACTAAAGCTTTATATTTACCTGATCTACATGTAAATGCAGCAATCTTTAGTCTTAGATATGACAGATGCAATTGCTATTAGACATGAGAAAATGGTGCAGATTTTATATACTTTGAGATTTAATTAGACATTTGATTCTTGAAGGTGGATTAGGAGTGACCTGCTGGATCATTGCATGTAGTACTGCTGTAAACAAGTTCACCAGTCTTTGGTCACTAGAAAAATCAGAAGAAGAAAAACAGATACCTATGACAGAGAGACAACCACTTGACATCCCATTAGACTGATATTAATCATTTAACTGAACCTAGTCACTGAGGGTATTGAAACACTGCCAAAGTATTTGTGCGGGTCTGTGGTGAATTGGATGGATGATCAAAGTTATGGTGTTGGCTACTGATTTCCTGCAAAAATTATTTCCTTTATTCACAAGAATGCAGTAAAAAGATGAAAGAAAATATTTTTCCTTTCATGTACTGTAAACCACTTTTTATTCGTGAGAATTTTATTTTTGTGTAATTACGCAAGACCCACTGCTCACAAAAATTTCATTCTCGCTTATGCTAGTATTATTAAAGATTATATAGAACAATAATCAGAATTGGCAAAAATTTTGTCTTGTTTATAAATACAACATTATTATATCACAAAAATAATGTGTCACGAGTGTGTGGTGATTTACAGTATTTATTTTTTTGTCCTTTCTCTAACAATTTTTCAACAGCAAATTTCTGAAAAAGAAAATAAAACATTGAACCAAATCTACCTTGCTTGGCAGATTGCTTTATAGTTTCTCATCTAATATTGGCTTGCAAGTTCTGCTTTTGTATGGACACTGCAATATGTCGTTGGACATTTTTTTAACTCAAATAAAAAATTCTATTGAATTTTTAAATTCTTTTTTTTATATTTTATGGTATGTGTCTGAAGATTTTTAAAATATCTCTAGAAGAGGAAAAAATATTCAAATGTTGATGATGTACAGAAAGGCATGATTATATGTACAAGTATTTCTAGTTCTCTCTGAAAATGGACAACTAATTTTATTTACCTGTACTTGAAATCTCACTCTGTAGAAAGTCAACATGCTGTATGAAATCATTACAGTCAATATGCTGTATGTAATCCGCACAATCAACATGCTGTATGTAATCATTACAGTCAACATGCTATATGAAGTCATCACAGTCAACATGCTGTATGTAATCATCACAGCCAATATGCTATAAGTAATCAATTCAGTCAACATCCTGTGTAATCCTCACAGACAACATGCAGTAGAAATGAGGATCACACACAGCATGTTGACTGTAATTATTACACAGAGCATGTTAATTATGAGGATTACTTACAGCATGTTGACTATAATGATTACATACAACATGTTGATTGTGAGGATTACATACATATTGACTGTAATGATTATATACCGCATGTTGACTGTGAAGATCCAACCTAAGCTTGGAAATAAATGAAAAATGAGTGTGATGTAAAAATCTTCATACAGTGTAAACATGGATATTTATGCATTTGTAAATTGTGTGAGTTAATACAAAGCACATTAAATGTGGGGGTTACCAGAATTTTGTATCATTAAAACTGAATAATGCATGTATAAATGAGTTGGTATGGGGGAAATTTTTAGCCAAAATCTTTTTTATACCATATTTAGTGGGAATTACCCCAAGCATAAATTTCCATGTTCACAGTAGCTGTCCAACATCTCTCTGACTGGTCCATGAATTTTTTGGGAGACTGCTCAATAAACACCTTGGAAATGTTAGACAGATTCATATAGGAAACAAATTTTGAAGACATAGCAATCAGAACTGGTTAATTTCAAGTCAAATCCAAGGTCAATTCCAATGATTGGTCACTCAAAACAAAGCTTAAAACAAGAGCAAATGAAATCATTGATGCAGATGGAAGCTTATGTACACTGGCAGTTCAGACTAGTTTTCTCCAAGTTTGGCCAACTGTGGATTTCTTTTATAAATTTAAATAAATGCTCTTTATGTACATCCCAGATGTCTGCAGCTGGATTCTTTGTTGGGGCATGATTGGTTTTTTTTAAAGACAAAAACATGCATTGTACATGTACAAACTTCTTATGTCAGTTTTTAAGCGTTTGTGAAGATCTCAAGTTTAACTACATAATGCATTAAGCTGTTAAATATAGGAAATCAATCTTTCCTTAGGTGATTTTCATTGAAATAAAATACTGCAAGTTACATGTACATAAATGCAAGGAGAACACTTCCAAAATGATACAAAAAGATCATTAATGACTATAATTAATATATCTTTATTTATAAGATCTTTGGATTGTTAAAGATTAAACAAACAGAGAAACTCTGTCACATAAAAGAGCAATAAGTCTATAAGCTGCTCCATAAGAACCAGTAATACATGTTTATATAACATACTGCTCTCACGGCTGATTGTATAATAATCAGGTCCACTGATATCCAAGTATATTTTTTGTTTTGTTTCTTTTGGACAATATATGATTTGAAATATTAAAAAAAATAATTGCTCACAGTTATAGATACTAAGCAGAAATTTCAATAAATAAAAATGCAGCATTGAAAACTGAAATTAAAATTTCAACAATAAATAATATAGATACACAAACTGTAAACATATTTGGCTGTAAAAGATAGTAAGATGTACATGGTCTATTTGGCTACTCTATAACTAATATAAATTGGACGGAGTGACCGCAATATCACAGATACTGGACTGAAGCAATAGGAAGTACATATAAATGAATTATAAAGAAAATAGGACATGTTTTAAAGGACTAAATATTGTTTTTCTTGTATAAATGTTACAAGTCTGATATACTTAAAGCTGATAGTTTTGAATCTGAACTTGAATCTTATTTTATTTTGTGATGAACTGTGAAATATAAATTTTCATGTCTCACATGCACCAACACTAATAAATAGCACAATGAAAAAAAGAAGAGTAAAATATTTACATTATTGAACTCACAACCAAGAATAATGTGATTGATTATCGTATTAGGGGACTTTTGTCTAGGAGGTGTCCCATATATCACTTTGGGGGGGGGGGGGGGGGGGGGGGCTTTCCTGACAGAATACAGAGATGAGTATATAATCTACAAATAAGTACATCTGCACTACAGACCCTGTAACTTCACGACACAGCTATAAAACCTGGCACCTGTATAAATCTACCTTCCTATCTAAACATTTGTATAGATGACATTTTGACTCAAACACACCACATATAAAGATTGTAAGTCCTATAGAATGGCACAAAAACTTCCTCTCATTACAGTTGATATCAATAGTATTTTTCCTTATATGTGTATTTTCTCGTAGAAAAGAAAACAAATTTGTACAGAAACTTATAACTCAGAATGTATAATATGCTTCATTAAACATTTTTAAATCAAAGTGAAATGAATTAAAAAGTCTTGCCTTGCAATTATACTTAACGAAAAATAAACGAAAACAAAATGCAAGACAATTCAAGTTTCATAAATGTGCAGTCAGATAATTCAGATCCAATACACAACCCTCCATACTTACAGTATTAAATTAGAAAAATATCTCTCCCTCCAATATTAAACTACAGAACAATTTTTATAAGCTACAAAACAATTACAGAATCACCTCCTCAATATCGTCATCATAATGATCTACTGCAGTCACCGCAGGCCGGGCCTGGAATGTGGTGGTGGTCTGCCGCGGTCGCCTTGGCAACATTTTAGAGGAGTCTTTTGTTGAAAAGTCATCATCAATGAGAGCACTTCCACCTCCAAATAATGCGCTGGTGGAATTCTCACGCTTTGTGGCAGGTTTCTTTGCTGTAGTTTTTGAATCATCATCATCCCAGGGGAAAGAACTCTTATTGGATGAATTCACAGTGGTTGTTTTCTTTGTAGTGGATGGCTTAAAGATATCGTTATCATCTAAATTTTGACTAGTAGTGTTTGTTTGCTTGCCAAATAGATCTGACATTAAATCACTCTTTTTATTTGTCTTTTTCGGGGGAGGTTTTGATGACAAAAAGTCATCATTGAACACAATACCTCCACTTTTCTTAGTCGTTTTCGATGTTGTTTTGTTGCTGGAGAATGACGGCATGTATCCACCAAATTCATCTACATCTTCCTGTGCCTTCTGCTGTTTCTTCTTTTCAATATATGGAACAGTCACATCATCTCTTGCAGGCTTCCCTGAATGCATATTTTCAATTGGTTTAGAAAATGTGTAGCTACTTTTGCTGGAAGCTGAACCTAGCCCCCCATCACTGTCCTTCCGACTGGCAGAAAACAAGAAACTGTCGGTTTCCTTCTCCTTTTTCTTATTTTTGTCTGTTTTCTTATCCACAACATCCACATTTCCTGAAGTAACAAAGAATGTATCTACTTCCTTCTTCTCAGGTACCTTGCTCTTATTCTTCCCTTCATCAATCTCCTTTAGCTTCGCTAAAAGTTCATCCTTTTTCTTCCGTTCTGCTTGGAGTTTATCATCCATTTCTATTCGTTCTTGCTCCTCCCTGGCCCTGCGCTCTTGTTCCTGTCTCTCGCGTTCCCTGCGTTCTTGTTCCTGCCTCTCCCGGCGTTGCTGTTCCTCCCGTCGCCTCACTTCGCTATCCCTCTGTTCCTGCTCGTGTTTGAGCCTCTCTTTTTCCAGTGTTAGTTTCCAGTCAGCCTCCTCGTTTTTTCGCCTCTCCTCCTCTTGTCGTTCTCTCTCTTCTCGCTCTCTCCGTTCTCGATCTCGTCTCTCCCACTCTCTACGTTCTTTTTCTTCTCGCTCCTGATTTAATCTCCTTTCCATTTCCTCTCGTTCTTTCTCCTCTTTTTCCCTCCGACTTTTCTCTTGTTGCTGTAAAATATTAAACTAGTATCATACATTGTGACTCAGCGTCTTATCCAAAATAATGATATTCAACACATTTCACACAATGTACTTCCAAGGACAAATGAAAAGTAATTGATTTTGTATGGCATGCAAATGTCATGTACATAGAAGTAATAATTAATCAAGACTGATATTGATTTACCATTCTATATCATCAAAGATGTTGAGAAAATGGTTGCAGTGGATTAAATTATTTATTGTCATGTGAAATTCACATTAATAAAAATGAATAAGTTAGCTATATGGAAAAAAAATGTTACATTACAATAACATGTAGAAATAACCAAATACAAGAAAGGCATAGTAAAATTAACAAAGAAATCAAATCAAGATAGAAGCAATGTAATTAATAAGGCAAGTCTTAAAAGGTTTACCTACCCCCACCCATCCCACCCTCCAAAAATATTAGCATTAAGGAAAACATCAGTGGCCCACATCTTCATAACAATCTTATCAACACGTGGTGAATTACTTTATTGACATCCATTTCAAAATTCCATTATTCCAAAATTATGATATCGATAAACAAATTAAATATATCTTCTTTTTACTTTTTGATGAGACACATATTATTCTTCTTTTTTTTTTATTTTTGTATATTTAATATAAATCTTTGTACTAATGTAACATTCTACTAGACAGTATAACAATCCTAATAAAACTAAATGTTGATACTCATGAAGTCATCATGCAATGGCTACATTGTCTCGGAAAAAAATCAAATGCAAGCCAACAACTAAAAAAAAAGATAAAACCCATGAATACAATAGTGAGGAAAGTCACCAAGCACATTGGGTTTTACTTAAATCTCTATTATTATAAATAAGAATCCTTAGGGAACTAAACGTCATGCATTTTTTTCATGCAGAGACCAAGTGTGCAAAATTGTCACCTCATCTGCAATAACTGCCTCAAATTCTTCTATTTCTTTCTGAAAGTCATATTCAATATCTGTTAGTTTGATAGACTGGTTTTCAAATTTTGTATTTGATTCAGACACTTGACTGTATATTTTCTACTGAACCATACCATACAAAAGAAATTTTAAATATAGATTGTACACGAATAACATGCAATGTACAAAATGCCCATTAAATGCTATTGGATTAAACATCTAGAATTGTCGATCATGTAATTTCAAGCAAAACAATTAAGAAATAGTAATCATGAACACTATTTAATAATGTATAAACAGGACAATAGAAAATCAATAAAATCAACTGTTATATAAAGACTCTTCGTGTTAGGGAATGTGCTACAAATCACAGCAGCATGGTGCATAGAATTCAAACTTTTAGCTTTTTAAACACAATTAATGAATGGAAAATTGATAAACTTATAAAAAACAATTTTACTACAGAAAAAAACCCAGACAAAAAACTACACCGAAATCTCAGCAACAGAAACAAAGGCTTCAGTTGAAATCCACACACATCCACAGCAAACAGACAAAACACAGGACAGAATATACTGATTAATAACACGGTAATTAACACCTTTAGTCTTCAAAGAATTCAATGTTTTCTCTGTTTTGTTATAATAACCTTTGTGATTCACAGCTTGCTCTTATAAAATGCTAACTGTTATTATACATGTATTTTTCAGAGGAAGAAATATTAGAATGACCTTCACCATACAAAAACACGATTAAATATTGAATGGATCTTATTATTCCAATGATCAGAGATATTTTAAATCTTAGCTAATTATGTATCTTAAATTGAAGATCAGAATATACACCTTCATCAATTACTTGATCTGCAATTATATGAAATGAATATATATTTGAACAAAAAAATCTTTAGAAAGACTCTAAGCAGCATCATTACTAAATGATAACCAACTTTGTTGCAACACAGGAGGTTATGTTTCCATAAAGAAATGTAAACTCTACAAAATGTCAAGCTCCTAATCATTAGAAGTGAACACAATTATGACAGCTAGGATTAGTTCGGAAGGAACTCTAATACACTGCAGCCTGAGAGTCAAACAGCCATGTATTATACCTCTGGTCTAGTGGTGCTACCAGGGAACTTAAAGCCAAACGGCTTTCTACCCGTACTAGGCAAGGGAGGTTTATTTTCCTTGGCTGATTCATACTCATGTTCCCCAGGGGCAGGTCGCCTCCAGGTTGGAGCGGGGGCATATTCTGTTGAGGTAGAATAGCCCTTGCTCTGCGAGTTCTGTATGGAAAAATATTCCAAATATTGTGTAAAAAACATTTTTCTGAGTATTACTGTTATCAAAACCAGTAATTTAAAAGTATGCTCAGGTTACATATGGTGACAATGCAGTGGTGAAACATTCCCAAGCTGTGGCACTGTAGGTTAATTAGTATGGTTGGTAAAGATAAAGATACCTGATATTCTGACCTTTAGTAACCATTAAAATTTTTCAATATTTGTGTGTACTGTAGGTAAACTAAAAGTTAAGTGGTGCAGGGTACATTATTTATGTGTGATTCAGAAGTGAGTTCTCCTAATTGCAAATTTTGTAGAATTGTTAATGACTACATGTATATTCAAACTCTATGTCATCATTTACTTAATACATAATTTGAAAGAATGAACTGACAATTTAAGTGCATGCACACAGGAACAAAATATGTTGCAATTTATTATAAATTCAGCAGAGATATAGGCCTAGTACAGAAAAGATAGAATTAGGAAATTCTGAAAAGTTAAAAAAGGAAGGACAACATGGATAAAAAACCAAACCAGGATTGTGTAAGGGAGATCACTCACAGAGTATATACATGAATTGCTGGAGTTATATACCTTTTCTGGACTACCATAACTATTATATGTGTCATGGTCATGAGATCTTTGTGTATCACGGCTGTGTTTGTCTATATTATCACTTTGTGTATCACGGCTGTGTTTGTCTATATTATCGCTAAATGCCATCCTAGGACCATCACCTCGCCCTTTCTTTGACTATGAATGAAAATAAGCATAATATTTTCAAAATTCATTTACCATTTCTATTACTGGTACTTGTATTTTTTTCTTTAGACTTATCGCACTCAGTAAAGATACACACCAAGACCTCTACATTGAATGCATTCCCTCACCTACTATAGAATATACTGTAAATTTTTCATGTGGCTCAGTCATTGTCTTTTCAGATCGAAAAGGGATTTCACTTACTGGTACTCTTGAATTCATTTATTTTTATTAAAATTTAACAAAAAAGTGTTAAACATTATTTGAAGATGTCTTTTCCACCTTTAAAATTCCTGACACAGCCCTGAGTAAACCCTCAAACACCACCTATATTAGCGCTACTATACACCATTCAGATACCTCAACAATTTCAGCCAGGCTCTTTTTCTTCTCCTATGACAGAAAATGAAATCAATGTTATCTCCCTTTTCAACACAAATACACACCTCTTTCTGTTTTCTCTCCTCCTCTTTCCTCTTTTCCTCGTACAGTTTGACTTTTTCTCTGGGGGTCAGATCTTGCAGCGAGGGTGCCCTTTTTCTTGCTTTAGGTGGTGGAGTGTCATGGGGGGTTCCCCCATAAGAAGCTGGAAGCCGATGAGGAGCTCGAGAACGGTTAGCGTAAATGTTCTTGATCTGAAGTTCTTTGTCTTTCTCCTATTTATAAAACATTACAACTGTAAACATCCATACCAAATAAATTGTCACCGTGATACTAAAACCATCAATGATGAAATCAGGGGGAGAAGTACTGCAGAAGTCAAATTACTACAGAAAAAAAGCAAACGAAAACGTTAAAGGACCGATACTGAGTATGTTAGATCAAACTGTAAATATATATATATATGTATATACATGTATAAAGTTTACCATCCTCCTGACTGTAAAAAACTACATAAATGTCACAACTAGTTCACCTCAGAAAACAGATACTGTCAATCCCAGACAATAATTAACTAACTCTTTTACTGTTGCCTTATAAAATACCTTGAGTAGTTTTTCTAGCTGATTATTCTGATCTCTGAGGGTATCCATTTGCTTCGTTAAGTCTCGGTTTCTTGCCATTTCAATCCCCAATTCATGCCTGTGGTTTTTGTTGAGATTTACAATGTGTTTCTCCAGATCCTACAAAAAATACAAGCTTTGTCAAGCAGAGTTTCAGTTTTGTGTTCAGCACACTTGAGAAAAATGCTAGTTTCTGCAAAATGGATTTATAGTCAGTGGAACCTTGCAGAAACCTGACCCTGCTTGAAATTTCCAGTACTTCTTCATGAACAGTTTCCTTACATTTTCTGTGGGGTTTCTGTGTGTGGAATGATAATCTATGATTCATAATAAGCTTTTCAATTTACAGTTGATCTTGACTTTCAGGTATGACCTTGACTTTCAATTCAATTCACTTTATTGACAATTACCATGTCGGCATACAGTCATGACATAAAACGAATTAACAAGAATAATACATACATATACAAAGTGACAAATGTGAGTTGAACAAAATAATGTAGAGTATATTCACATATTTCTAAGTATTCATTGCTGGCTTTCTTTTCTGGTGTCAAAGCACTTTTTCAAAAAACAACATATCCTTCTAGCAGTTGTAATATTTGTAGGATTGACAATTTTTCTAATGGGATTATCACTAGTATATGTGTTTACATTAAATATATCAGTATAATTGCATCTAAATTGGTCATACTTTGAACAGTATAGAACAAAATGTTTTTCATCTTCAATAAATAATTTACATGAATAGCATAAACGTTTTTCTCTAGGAATAGGGGGTTTACAGTATCTGCCCGTTTCAATATACAATGGATGGGCACTGATCCTTAATTTTGTTAATACAGATCTAAAACTTTTCTTTAAAGGCAGCTTTAAATAACTTTGCAATTTGTATTCATTTTGAATTACAATTTTACTATAAAAAGCTAACTTTCCAGAGTTTGATTTGCTTATATTTTTCAGTTGTTCATGTATCTTGTTTTGGTAATGCTCTTGTAATTTGTTTTTCAAGGTTGTGTGAGAAATATCCAAAGAAGTGATATTTAATTTTTGTAGTAATGAAGACAGTTTTCTTTGCCAAGATATTCTAGATACAAGTTTTTTGTCTTCTTTAAATGCAGAAATCACTAAATAATTATTATAATCATGTTTGTTTTCCATTTCCTTAAGTCTCTTAAAATATTTAAACATATATTCATAGCATAAATAGTACAAAGGAAAACGACCCAATTCACATAAAACAGCAAGATTTGATGCCTTTCTATGTACCCCTAGTATGTCTTTAAATATTAAGTGTTGTGTTTTTTCAAAAGGAAATTGGTCTGAAGACATTAAATCACATTTGAAGTCAGTTATCCATACTTCAGATCCATATGTAATAATTGGTATTATCATTGACTGGTATAATTTTAACATAATTTCAGCTGAAAAATTAATGTTTGCAGGAAAATTTGATTTAATAGCATAATATGCTTTCCTAGCACGTTCTGATAGTTGTTCAGCTGCAAATTTCATTTTTCCATCAGATCTGAACACAACACCCAAATATTTATATTCATTCGTTATGTTAATCATTTGGTGATTGTAATAAAATCTAAATGATGTTTCATCATCTGTTTTTCTTGAAAAAATCATAACATCTGTTTTATCCATATTAACACACAATTTCCAGTCTGAACAATATTTTCCTAAAACATCTATACAGTTTTGTAGACCAACTTCTGATTCTGATACAAGGACCAGATCATCAGCAAAAAACATATGATTTATTGGCATAGTATCTAGATATGCAGGATATGTGCTTACATTTTTAAGATAATTCACAAAATCATCAACAAAGATATTGAAAAGTGTTGGACTTAAATTATCACCTTGTTTGACTCCTCTATTAGCTTTAAATTTTTCACTCATTTGATTGTCCTTTTTACAAGAATAGTATGTATTTGTATACATGTCTGTCAAAAGTTTGAGAAAGTTACCACCAATACCCTTTTTATTCAATTTGTATAAAAGTGCAGATCTCCACACAGTATCAAATGCTTTTGAAAAATCTACAAAGCACACATATAAATTCTGTTTCTTTGTATAAAGATATTTGTTTACAAGTGTTTTTAGTACAAATATATTGTCAGTGGTCCTATGACCTTTTCTAAATCCAGATTGATATTGACTTAGTAGATTATTTGACTCAAGATAATTATCTAAGCGTTTCTGTAGAAGGCCTGTAAAAAGTTTTCCTAAACAACTTGTAACACTGAGACCCCTATAATTGTTTGTATTATTAGGATCACCATTTTTGTATAATGATGTTATAAGTGAAAGGTTCCATTCTTTGGGCATTTTTCCATTTTTAAGTAGAATATTAAACAGTTTTGTAAGGACAGGTAAAAGGGTAGTATTGTTTGTTTTAATAAACTCATTTAAAATTAAGTCAGGCCCAGCACTTTTACCATTTTTCAGCTTTAAAATGCTTTGTTCTATTTCATCTTGAGTAAACAAAAAGTCTAATGGATTTGGTTCAGTATTTAGTTCAGTGTACTTGTATTTCAAGCTCTCTTCATCAGTATATTGAATGTTCAGTAAGGATTTGTAGTGGTCAACGAATTCTGAAATTCCAATTGTTTCTGCATTAGTTTTCTTTGATTTATTTTCTTTTATCTTATTCCAAAATTTACTGGAGTTTTGTGGCGAAAGCGTGTTAATTTCTTCTGCAATACTAATGTAAAAATTAGATTTAAGACTTTTTCTTAGTTTATTATAATCTTTTCTACATTTTGCAAAGGCATGTTTTAGTTCACAGTTGTTTGGATATTTGTGTACTTTCTTCCCTAAATTTCTAACTTCTTTTCGTAGGAGTAAGCAATCTGTAGTCATCCATTTTGGTCTTTGTTTATTTTTTCGTTGTGATTTTGTAAATTTTGCAGGTTTAAATGGAACACTTTTATTAGCTGCATTTAGAAAGTTCTGATTGTGAGTTTGACCTTAAACTTAAATATAAGTTATAAAGACTTTATCTCCTACAATTCCTGAGTTTTGTTCAGGATTTAATTTAATGGTAGAGAGACCGACAGACAGAGAGAAAGAGCAGAGAACAAAATTTGCTGCTTAATCCTTCATTGTTTAATTGAAATATTGGAATAAGCTAAATAAATCTTCACAAAATGTGGCCCTTATTAATAAAGTCCCACAATAAATAAATCAACACAAGAGGCCCATGGGCCACATCGCTCACCTGAGCACTAGGGGAAAAAAAAGCAAAAATCAGTTCAGTATTGAAAAGTTTACGGGGGTGGGGGTGGGTTTGAATTTTTAACTACCTGATGATGCTTTCATATAAATATAACAAATGGCTTTGCTGTTCTTCAGCAGAAGATTTTTTTTCATATATTCATTTGTAAAAATTTGATCCCCCATTGTGGCCCCACCCTACCCCTGGGGGCCCTCATTTGAACAAATTTCATTCTACACTACCCAAGGATGCCTCCATATCAATTTGACTAATCATGGCTTTTCTGTTCTTGAGAAAAAGATTATTTCCTATATATTTCTCAGGCTCTGTAAACTTTAATCACCCATTGTGGGCCCACCCTACCCCCAGGGGTCATGATTTGAACAAACTTGAATCTACACTACCTGAGGATTCTTCCATATAAATATGACCAATCATGGCTTTGCTGTTCTTAAGGAGAAGATTTTTAAAGATATTTTCCTATATATTTCTACGTAAAACTTTGATCCCCCATTGTGGCCCCACCCTACCCCTGAGGGTCATGATCTGAACAAACTTGAATCTACACTAACTGAGGATTCTTCCATATAAATATGACCAATCATGGCTTTGCTGTTCTTAAGAAGAAGATTTTTTTTTAAATATTTTCCTATATATTTCTATGTAAAACTTTGATCCCCCATTGTGGCCCCACCCTACCCCAGGGGTCGTGATTTGAACAAACTTAAATCTACACTATCTGAGAATGTTTCCACATAAGTTTCATCTTTCCTGGCCCAGTGGTTCTTGAGAAGAAGATTTTTAAATGAAGCCATTATTTTTTAAGTAATTCCGAATTATCTCCCCTTGAAAGAGGGCGTGGCCCTTCATTTGAACAAATTTGAATCCCCTTCACCCAAGGATACTTTGTGGCAAGTTTGGTTGAATTTGGCCCAGTGGTTCTTGAGAAGAAGTCGAAAATGTGAAAAGTTTACAGACGGACAGACAGACAACGGACAAAATGTGATCAGAAAAGCTCACTTGAGCCTTCGGCTCAGATGAGCTAAAAAATTCACAACAAACTGCACATTTATCAACAAACAAATCAATAAAGATCCAATAGACAGGTACCTGTAGAATTCCTGTGATTTAGAGGAATGTTAAATGTTTTATATCTCATCAATGTTTAAAACTAAATCAACAGTTTTAGGTTACTGCAATTAAAGTCTGTCTACCAGCAATCTTAAAGTACAGACACATTATTTTCAATGATTTGTATTTAAAGGGCAATCATATCTATTGGTTTATACATGAATAATAAAATTTCATTTTTTTGCCTGTAATTTTTCAGGATTCATCACCTCCACTGGAGGTAAAAGCCGATAACAGATTAAATTTTCAGCAGACGTCTGTTAAAATAAAGATGATTTTTTGTGTCTTAATATTACTTGGTTTATTTTTTCCAAGGCAACATTTTTCTCAGTTTTCTGAACATTGATATGTTTTGTTCCCAACTTCAATTACCTTACAAAACCAGTGCCATAAAATAATTCATTTCTGGAATTTTGACATGACTATCCCTTTCAAGGCTTTTAAAGTGGTTAAAGTTTAACCAAGTTAATAGGCACCTTAAAAGACTGTTTTATTTTAATTTTGGGAGATTTAAGATCTATTACCTGCCATTTCCTGCAATATTTACATTAAAGTCCATCAGGGTATCTGAATATCTTCTTTTTTAGTTTCCTATTTGTACACATTTGTATTGCAACCTTCCTCTGGATTAATCATCAGTATCCTCTGTGTACACCTTTACCTTAATTTCTATATTTTCTCTGTGTATACCTGTTTTATTATTTTTTCCCTTAATTTCTATATTTTCTCTGTGTATACCTGTTTTATTACTTTTTCCCCTGATGTCTTTATTTTCTCTGAGTACATCTTTGTTTCCTAGCTATTATCACCTTTATTCTAATTTCTATATTTTTTTTTTTGTGTTTTACCTGCCTTATTACCTTCTCCCTGACGTCTTTACTTTCTCTGTGTACACCTTTGTTTCCTATTATAACCTTTACCCTAATTTCTATATTTTCTCTGTGTATACCTGTTTTATTACCCTTTTTTCCTTCTGTGTAAACCCTTTATCCTAATTTCTATAATTTTCTCTGTGTATACCTGTTTTATTACTTTTTTCCCTGATGTCTTTATTTTCTCTGCATAAATCTTTGTTTCCTAGCTATTATAACCTTTATCCTAATTTCTATATTTTTTTTTGTGTTTTACCTGCCTTATTACCTTCTCCCTGACATCTTTATTTTCTATGTGTACACCTTTGTTTCCTTACCTTTATCCTAATTTCTATATTTCCTCTGTGTATACTGTTTTATTACCTTTTTTTCCCTTCTGTGTACACCTTGTTTCCTTACCTTTTTTCCCTTCTGTGTACACCTTTGTTTCCTTACCTTTATCCTAATTTCCTTCTCCTCTAGTTCTATCTGCAGCCTCTGATTTTCTTTCTGAAGTTCGTCCCTCTCCTTGAGATTATTCTGGTCTGCCAGAGACTTGTACCGCTTCAACTTGCCCTTCACCTTGTCAAGTTCATCCTCTGCATCCCTGAGGTAACGATCTGTCCTTTCATATTTCTCACGCGTTTTACGTAAGTTCTCCTTTAGTGTTCGCACCTCGTTTTGGTGCCTGGCAATAATTTGAGGAAGCTCACCCTCGGTTTCTTCATATTTAACGAGGGCCTTCTCTTGTCGATGCTGCATCTTTTTGAGGAGCTTATTCTCCTCTTTGAGGTCCCTGAATGCTGTCTGCATGTCCTCAATCTGGTTCCTGAGTTCATTCAATTTTAAGTTTTTTGCAGACAGCATTCTTTGTACTACACCATCCATTTTGGGCTCGGAATTGGCCACTGATGTTCGGCCCGCTGTATTTCTGCCACCACGCCCACGACCTCCCCTATGTCCACCAACTAAAACAAATAGAAACTGACCAGTTAAACTTTAATGGCAAAATAGTCAAAAATAATTAAGCCACAAGTATATAATCACACTTTATGATCTTAATTAATTTCACATTTAAAAAAAAAGGGTTGATGTTAAACAAACTCTAAAGAATCAAAATTTAAGACTATCCTTGTTTCCAGGTTTATTAGACTGCACCTTATGTACATCACCATTATCATGCTAATATACAATTATTAGGGCTTGTAAAATTTCATGCAAAAAAATTATAAAGATGAAACAAATATTATTTTCATCATCACACATTAATTATTCCAACATATATACAGACACCACTTATTACAAGTTAGAGTCGATTTACACATAATTCTAGATTTCCTTGTGTTTATTTGAAGAACAGTCTCCATACCCCACTAAAAATAGCATAAATTCAAAAAAGAAAATCAACCAGCATAGTATTCATTGATAAATGTAGCTCTAATTGTCAACGGTACAAAAACATGTCGAATGAATAATGCTTATCTCGATATGGAATAAAATGCAAACAGCAAAAGGCATAGAAGATTAGAAACCATACTTATGGTGTCTAAAAACAAAGAGGTCTTGGGCCACGGTGCTAACCTAATTTTTACCACGTTGAAAATGTATTTTACGTACATCCCCCAACCCCTTTTTTAAAGATGTAAAAGACTACCTGAATATATTTCTCAATATTAAATGAAACGTTCAATGACCAAGTTAACTCCTTTGTTCAATTCTTTATTATCACTCATGGTCAACTCCTAAGTATATATTCTCTGGAATGTATGAGGCAGCTTTTTTGGGCTGCTTGTATTAAAAAAGTCTATCAATTATAATTCTGACATTATCATGTCTCTTTCACTACACTTTGTCTGAAAAAAAAGAAATTTACCAAGCAACTTCACTAGAATAGAGAAACTTAAAACTTATGGAACCATAAATAGGGTTTAGTTTCTAGTTTAGAGTCAAGAAAGTAGATTGATTTTAAGCACAGAACAAGCTTATCTGCTATAAAGAAGTACTCAATGTACAATGACTTATGTACAATTGATGTATAATTCTTTATGTTATAATTTGTCATCAAAAACTCTAGGGTACAAGCAATACCCTAATTTATATCTGTGACAAAGGTAGATCAAACTCTATAACCTTTAATTACTAAAACCTTTCAAGACATTATTGGAGCCACTTTTGATGATAAACCATGAGTTTTTCTTGTAAAAAAAAAGTCAATAACAGATCAGCCAGCCAGGAGCTAAAGCAGTCATCGATGACAGATATCCCATCTTTTCCCTATAAAAAAAAAATCATCAATACAGGGCAACCTCCAAATGAAAATTGTACCCTTAGGTTATTTATTGGGGATCTTATTTGCAAGCAGAAAAAAAACCCCTTGATGACAGACAGACAGCTACACAGACTAAGATTCTCAGAGGTTTCACAAGCTTGGATAAGGAAGGATCACTTGATATTTGGGATCAGCTGAAAAACGTAAGGTATAGCATACTACCTAAAAAGGAGGAAAATAAGAACCAGAAGGGCGGAAAACAGGTTTATATACAGACACTAAAATATCAATCAGTTTTAATAGTTGTTATCCAGATATCAGAAAATTCCTTTCAATGGCTAAGGAAGAAAGCCAATAGGAATAGCTGATAATTTCAAATCCCTTATATCTGAAACTTATGGCATAAAACGTATGTGGTATATATATCAATAATCTAGCCCATTTAACCAAAGTTATTCAATAGGGACTACAGAGGCATGCAGTTGGTGGTCGGTGAATGACGGCTTATACAGACAGCATGCAACTCCATGTGATTCATATAAACATGTTACTCCAACATGTCTTATAGCCATTTCTCCTCTTATATACATGTATACATATCTACAGGTGTTGGTAAATGTTTTGGCATAAGTAGTTTTTATAAGACATAGCATAACAAAACTTTAAGTGGGTACATGTTCAAGCATAAAGGCCACACCACATTGTAAGCTTGTTAAAGTCTAGGTTCACCTTTCTTTTTAGGAGAGTACACGTCAGTAAATGTTTGAGTCTTGGAATCTGAAAACATGATTAAATATAAACATTGTCATTTAATATCAAAACTGAAAATAAAAATACTGCAGCCATGATACCCTTATAAACATTAAAGTATAATTAAATTACTCACTGTTTGGTAAACTATCTCCTCTTGATACTATTACTTGTAATGACATTTTTTATATTTCATTTGCTTAACAAAATGAAAAAAAGTTGGGTTTTTTTCAAAAATCCTGGAGTTTTAATACTCTGCTAGCTTAGAACACTTTGCCTCTATTTTCCAATGAAAGTACACTGTTGGAATGCAATGTACTCAAGTCTAAACTATAGCCAATGAAATTAATGAGATCCAAAAATGTCAGCCGTCTGGAATGTATGTCAAATTCATTAACAGATGTACCATTACATCATGTACATAAACATATAGTATCCCAATTAAACCGGCTGCAGCACTATTTGCATGTTAAAATAAAATTGTCATAAAAAATAAATTACAAATCTTTTGTTTAACGAGAAGCCACTATTGATTGATTTCTCATTGTCTTAAGAAAGCCATAAACAGAGTTAAGGTGAAATGCGTAATGCCCCACTGGAATCATTGTGTCTATACCGTTACACTAAACAAACAAGACAATGAGATTTTAAATTGACCAAAAAAATCGTACAGTACAAGCAGGTAATTGGTAAAGCATGAGGTCATTGGGCTAATGGTTATAAACATAAATCTCGAAGTTTATCTGCCTCTCATCAGCACTACTGTTTTACTCTACACAGTCAATAACTGGCAGTGCTGACAATCATGATGTCAACGCTATAATTTAGTTTCCAGATCGAGTGATTTTATCAATTAAAAATGGACGTGTCCTCAGAGTAAAAACTTTGTGACAGCACACTCTCTAGAAATATACATATTTTTAAATCATCATTAATTACCCAAAAACATTAATTACCCAAACTTCACAGTCTCATCAAAGAAAAAAGTCTGAGGCTAAAATTCACATCCCCCCCCCCCCCCCACATTGCCTGCTTTTATACAAACACTTGTAAATGACTTTCCAGGGATGAAAATCAATAAGATAGCTTTCTGATTTTGTTGGATTTAGGATAAATTGACCTATGTGACTTCAAAGTATCGGTAAACAAACTTAATTACCTTTTTAGATTGTTCATTATCTTAGGAATAAAATGGTTTTAACAAAAATCCCCTCAAAGTTTTTTTTTTTAATTACTGGTCTGCCCCCCCCCCCCCCCTTCTCTTTTAGAAGGTAAAGTGAAACTTTTGGTGTAGCACACATATATTTCAAATAAGTAATCAAAAGATTATCAGTTTGAATTTCATGAAAGTTTCTTGATGCCATGGCTTTTAGCTGATTCTTTGATCCCTGTATTTGGTGAGGGGGTTTAACCTGCTATATATAGGCTGGGATCCATGGCCCAGAGGAAGTTTATGAATCTCGTTCACTTGGTACTTCAGATACTACAGAAGCTCTAGGTATAATAACCAGTGCTCAGCTAACCATTATGGCTAATAGGAAAGAATTCAATCTAACACTAAAGTACAAACTAACAGAATAGGTGAGAATTTACATAAAAGATTAAAGATTTGATTGTTATGAATTTCTTTGATTCAATCTGTCGTGAATTATCTGTACAGTAATAATTCCATTCATGCCATTTGGAAGTTTAAATTCAAATATTTTTATGACAAAGATCTCTCATTGTGAAAAGGTACTTTATTTGTTTGTGTTTATACAATTGAATATTGATTGAAGAAAATAATTTTAATCCTATTCTTCTGAGTTAAAAATGGTTAACAAAGATAATAAGTTACAGATGAAAATTTATCTTGTAATTCGTAAGATTTATTTTCAATTATTTCATGCTACTCTTTAAGAAGCTTACATAATTGCAAAAACAAGAAAATAATTTACTTACAAAAAATATCTAGTTACATACATTTAAGAATTTCAATTTTTCAATTTCATCTGATTTGATAAAAAGCAGAACAAACCAGCAGATAAACTACCACTGCAGTGCATGTTATTATGATAAAATTTATGTTATTTAGGAGCTTTGCCTAAATAATTCATAAGTAAAGAAACTGTAAATACCTACTTCCTTATTTTTATATTTTAAACAAGAGTTCAAAATGACCTTTTTGTTATCAATAATTTTATTCTGCTAGGAACAAAGAAATAATTTTTAGAATACAAGAATCAAAAATCTATTGTCATTAAGGTACAACTTGACTTTTCCCCTCAAAAACAAAGCATGAACTCATAAGGGTCTGTGGTTACAAGTTGACATTGTCTTTTGGTTATGAGGGTTATGTTAGGTTTGAGTTGACTTGGTAACAAGTCAGTCAGGTTAGGAGTTGACTTTGCCTTTTGGTTGTGAGTTGACATGTTGGGTTTGAGTTGACTTGGTAACAAGTCAGTCAGGAGTTGACTTTGCCTTTTGGTTATGAGTTGACATGTTGGGTATGAGTTAACTTGGTTACAAGTCAGTCAGGTTACAAGTTGACTTATTTGATACTTACTGACACTATTTATGTAAACTTTACCTGATTTAAACTTTCTGAAGTTCCTGCCACCTGTATAAATAGTATATACATGTGCAGATCTAGAGGGGGGAGGGGGGCCTGGACTCCCCCCCCCCCCTGGAATTTGCTCAGTTATTGAAAGTATATACTGAAGCAATTAAAAAATAACTTTGGACCCTCCCTAGAAAATGTGGACCAGGGATCGACATTAACGGTTGTCCGATTGCCCGGGACAAGTAAATTCTTAGTTCGGGCAAGTGAAATTGTCGACATACTTGTCTGATCGGGCAAGTGAATTTTTCTCATACAAATGTACATATTTAGTTTACATCAATTTATAAATAAAACAATAGATTGAACACTTGATTCCCCCCACACACCTGACTGACAATGTTTTCAATCGAAATTTCTTGGTAGCGTTTCTGGATTATACTGTTTATTTAAAAAATCAAGTTCGTTATTTTCTATCGTAGTAAATATGCTCTACGTCTAACAAATTTTGTTAATTTCTTATTTATTTATTTATTTATTCACGCACAGAATATAAGTACGTTGTAACACAATGTATCCTGATCAAGATAAGAGGTACTAAGTATGTTTCGTAGCAACTATCTTCCTTAAGGTCAAGATCTAGTAAATGAAAGGTGCCTACAGATTTCTCAAATTTGAGAAATGAATTCCTTTAATGATGCTTTATGATATTAGCTTGGTCAAAGAAGTTGTTTCGGGGCATAATTTGTAGGTAAATAAGACGAAAAATCATACTTTAAACTGTCATTTCAATGAAAAATTAAGAAAATCTTTCATGAATACGGGAGGTTTTTTCCAAATCAGACAAATGAAATGTTTCCAGATTGCCTACAGTCTCTCAGAAAACGGTAATTTGTATGTTCTTGGCCTCTTCTTTAAAATAATATTAAATTGAATATAGGTATCGGGATTACTTTTCACATGATTTCAGTTGGATTCCATGAAACTACTTTATTTTTTACATAATTTTATTAGAGCCGTAAAGTACGGGAAAAAGAAAGTTGACGATTATGACGTCATAATGGATCTAGCACCAAAAACTTAGTCTAAAGTCATTTACTAGATCTTGACCTTAAGCGTTGCTTCACAGTTATCTCTGAGAATCACGAATCGCAAAATGATCCTACCGCAAATAATTTTCAAAAATATGAATTTTATTAAAAGGAAACGGAGGGTTATTGGATTTGCTGTATGGCAGTGTGTGTTAACAGGTTATATTCACAGCGATATACGTTTTTGTACAATTTTTTTTCAGGTATCTCAAAATGCCAAATTGACAGTAGTGTATTTAGTCACATTTTTTTTTCTTTCCATAACATTTACAGTAATTAATAATTTTTTTCTTAACTTCTATCCTAATTTTGGGCAACCAAGTTTTCCATTCGGACAAGTCAAAGTTTGAGATCACTTGCCCGAAGGGCAAGTGAATCTGAAAGTTAATGTCTATCCCTGTGGACCCCACCACCTCTACCATTAATTAGGTGTTTTTCATGCTGGGAAATGGAATTTACCTTTTTTATGCCCCCGTATCAATGATTCGGGGGTATATAGTTTTTGCCCTGTCCGTCTGTCTGTTTGTCTGCAAAAACTTTAACATTGCCCATAACTTTTGATTGGTTGGAGCTGTGACTTTCATATTTCACATGTGTATTTCTTGTCACATGACCTTTCTTTGGGTACCATCATATTGACCTTTTGACCTCGACCTTGGAGTTTGACCCAGTTTTACAAAATTTTACCCAAATTTAACCTTGGCCATAACTTTTGAATAATTGGTGCTAGGGCTTTCATACTTCACATATGTAATCCTGGGGACAAGACCTTCCTTTGGATACCAACAACTTTGACCCTTTGACCTTGGAGTTTGACCTACTTTTGAAAAACTTTAACCTTGGCCATAACTTTTGGTGCTAGTGCTTTCATACTTCACAGATGTAATCCTTGTGACAAGACCTTCCTTTGGATACCAACAATTTTAATCCATTGACCTGATCTTGGAGTTTAACCTACTTTTGAAAAACTTTAACCTTGGTCATACCTTCTGAACGATTGGTGCTTCGGCTTTCTTATTTTTGGGTTGGAAATTTTTTTGACTGGGGTGGACCCCCCCTGGAGAAAATTCCTAGATCCGCGCCTGATATACTGACCCTACTGTATACAGGGTTATTTTCGCCCCATTTAATTTTCCCCCTTTTACATTTGCAAGCAGTTTTGCCCATTTTAAATTTGCTCAGTCACAGTTCTGTTTAGGAAATTATACAGTGTACTGTGTTGTTTGAATTCACCCTGTTTTAAATTCACCCAACTGTGAGTAGGGCGAAAGGGGCAAAAATAAAATGGGGGCAAAAATTTACCTGTATACAGTACTTTTATTTTTACTTGGTTTGAACTTTCTGAAGTTCCTGCTACTGTATAAATGCTATACACACTAACACGGTTTATGTATATTTTTACCTGGTTTGAACTTTCTGAAGTTTCTGCCACCTGTACTTTTGGCTGCTCTGGGAGCATCATCCTCATCACTGATAAAGGAATCACTGTAATCATAGTCTGACATCTTCTCCTCTTCTCTTCAATCATCCAACATAATACTGACCTGTAAAATATAGGAGAAAAAATCTATTGTCATTAAGGTACAACTTGACTTCTCCCCTAAAAATCCAAGCATGAACTCATAACCGGGGTTTTTGGTTACAACTTGACTTAATTGCTTCAAATTTTTAATCTACCATTATGATAGTTTGGGAGATATACGTCAATGTTTTAAATATAATGTAGGTTGAAAGGCTCATTTTTAGCCTTAATTTTAAAAAAATCCATAGATAGGGCGACTTCGGAAGATTGGGTGAAGCCATGTTTACCGATTTTCTAGAAATTATTCTACATAAGATACTATGCATTGGAACACACAAACTTAATGGTATTTCCCATGAAAACATCTGTATTGAAATAGTATATCACATTTGTATGTGTTTAACATTTAATTATGCTTTATTTCTACTAATAATTCATTAGTTGAAACTTCTTTGAATTTATGCTATAACTGTATTTTCTCTAACTTAATTGTCCATTTCAAAGCTGTCATAGTTTCACTCTGTCATTAAACAATAATCAAAAATATGGTAGTGTACAACACAGTAGTATACAATACCTATCAATTGAGAAAAGGTTCAAGATCATAATTTTTATAATTATATCCACTGCAGAAAATGGTTAACACATTCCTAATATATTTCTCTGAACATTATTAACAATATTAGTGAATGCAACAACTTCGATGACCGCCCGTTTTTTTATTGTCACAGTGACAGATTTTGCTAAAGTAAGATAATGAGAGGAGTGACGAGTCAGTGGTACATATATATAAATTTGTAACATAGAGAAAATGTGCGATATGACTAGGATTCAAATCTGTGCCCCCTGAACATAAGGCAGAAGATCTTGCTAAAGCAAAACAAAAACTGTCCAACTGCCACAATTTATCATTTATATATCCAAAAGTTTTACTAAGTCAACTGCCTTAAAGGAAAGTAGTGCTATAATTAGTTAGAATAATCTAACTGTGTCTCGGGACAAGCCCTCACCACAGTTAGAATACGTCCCATATACTTGCAATGTAGCAAATCGGAGTGGATCCACTCCGAAATGATTTTGAAGAATACAAAAGGAGTTGCACAGAAAATAACTACCAAATTTATCATAACAAACCTTTTTGAGATGGTATATGTCTTTTAACCTAAAATATAATTCATATAAATATGAAAATTCAACTCTTTTTCTCAACGTTTTTTCCTCGCTTCAAATTTAACACCATGTTGACATTCGGAACTCTCTGGATTGTTCATAGAAAATACACAGAGTACGAGTTATCGCCCGTGTTTATTTTGCAACATTGCCAATACACGGAACGAATTCTATCGTTAAACCGGGTCCGTAGGACAATATCATTTTAACGATAGAAGTTTCTATCTATGCTATAATGTACATTACTGATACAAGGATTAAAATATTACATTCAAATCTTACTGTTACTTCAGTCAGATCCGTTGTATATAAAATCACAATACACATATTTTTATTGACAAACTATGAGAAAAAGTTCTTTCAACCATCATAAAGTAAAAAATTAATGTCTTTGAAATATTATTTTCAATTCATATAATAAGTATAATTAATCATAACAAATTCGGTTTTCTGCACTCATCAAAAATGTAATAAGTGCCTTAGACATTATCACAACACATAATGAAAACAGATAAATCACAGGAATCTGCAAATAGAACTTAAAATTTTTCAGACCACAGTAGTACAGAGTATTTTCAAGTTAGTATTTTCAAGTTATGATGACTTAGCTTATTTTGCCCTAAAATAGATTTCTGAAGCAAATTTGTTACCTATAAAATTGTCGAACAGGTGTTCTGTCATTCAATCCATTGCATCGCTCATAAACATGTGTCTGCTTTACGACATGGTAAGAAAATATGCGTGAACCGGTGTGACATTTGTTTACCTGCCCAGCAACAAGAAAAACGGATGTGTGGAATTTAGTCGACGTCACAGAAATTGTGAACCGGAAGTAGAATGACGTTGCAAAGTGTGTGTGAAACCTGACCCGGAAAGAGTATCAAAATACAGAGAATCCCAACCAATCCATCTAAATCGGGAAACATCTGCAGCTGTTTATCATATGCAAGTTTGCTTACAGCTTGAACATTGCACAATTTCGACTCTTCTTTCCAGATTTTTAGCAAAATGGGACTCAAAGTGTTTATTACAAACATTTCTAGCAGTACTGATGTAAGTGTTCTGCTTTGTTTACAAAATTTGACAGTTCGAATTGCCACACCCACCAGTGAAGGAAACATTTAAATTTTCTGTTTTTAATAACTAAATTTTAAAAATCTGATGTGTAATATAATGTTATGCCTTGCATTTGCATTTGGCAGCTAGATATCATAGGCTCTTGTTTCTGTAAGAAATATTTACCCCTATACAAAAGGTATCCAATTAAAAATTTCATGGAGTACCCACCTCCCAAGAATTGCAGTCATTAATGCTTTCAAAGAAAATGCACTGGTAAAATGTTTAGTACTGTACATTCTTTCTACAAATTTATGTTGTATTTATTTCCTTTTATCTCCATTAACAACATACAAACTCCGCTGATCGATTGAAAATTGTTTCGCACCACCAAGTGCTATGTCAGGGTTGCAAATAACCACTCGCCCACTCGGAAATGCGAGTAATTTTGCCTGTGGGCGACCATCTCTTAAGGATATTATTACATAGAACATTCTATTGTTAAAATGATATTGTCCTACGGACACGATTTAGGAATTTGTTGGGTATTTGCAATGTAGCAAAGGAAACACGGGTGATAACTCGAACTCTGTGCATTTTCTATGAACAGTCCAGAGTGTTCTGAATGTCAACATGGTGTGTAAATTTGAAGCGAGGAAAAAACGTTGAGAAAATGAGTTGAATTTTTGTATTTATGCGGATTATTTTTTAAGTTAAAAGGCATATACAATCTCAAAAAGGTTTTATATTAATTTGGTAGTTATTTTCAGTTCAACTCCTTCTGTATTCAGGGCTCTCAATTCTCTGTATTTGGGGCCGTTCAAAGGCCCCATTCCCAATTCAAAAAAGGCACCTTTTTTCCCAATTGAATGTGCTAATTTTCACAAACTGTCACTTCTCCAAATATTAAAGAACATTTAGTAAGATATATAGTTACTAAACTTGTAATTCATATTTCTCTGCATTACAAAACAGAAATTTAGTTGATAACAACCACCAGAAACTCAATACAATGTATATCATGAATTTAATGCATAATGTCTAGTTATGATTTTCCCAAAATTACCCGAAAGGTCGCTAATTTTCCCAATTTTTATGGCCCCGGCCCCAGTTCCAAAAAGTGGTGTGAGAGCCCTGGTATTCTTCAAAATCATTTCGGAGCGGATCCACTTCGATTTGCTACATTACAAGTATACTGACATATTCTAACTGTGGTGAGGGCTTGTCCCAAGACACAGTTAGATTATTCTAACTAATTATCGCCCACATGGGAATTTTATTAGACTTTTTCCAGAACCTTATCGTGATTTGGTTCCACTCTTAAACGCACTTTTTTTCACTGTTTTCTTCTTATAAAACATTTTTAAGACCCAGAATCGTGTCAATGAAACACTTCCTTGAAAGTATGAAAATTCCTTTTATGTATCAAATGTAGTGGGTTTTTCGCCCATATCGTATTAAGATGCACACTATATATTATTCAAAATTAACAGCTTTATATTCATTAATTTTCCTCCTGAAATAAAAATGTTGAAAATGTTTTCCAATTTTTTGCTGCCACCGTGGGTAAAAATATTTCACGTTATGAACTTTATAAGTTGGTAAAGTACGCTTTCTGTAATTTTATGATAGAAACATTTATAATGTAAAATACAGTTATATGTATCCTGAAGTGAATGAAATCATGGAATTTTGAACAAGTGGTGTCGAAATGCCCAGGAAGAAATGAAATGAAAGACTGTGGACAGGAAAGTATTTGTGATTATCATAAGAAATGATTTTTTCACCAAGTGAACAGAAAATAGTAGGCTCCAAAGTATCAATGTGGGCTAGTAAAACTTGTGAAGTTGGGAGCCCACATGGCCCCTAAGTTCAAAATCTTATTTGCAACCCTGGATGTACAAATATCTAGTATTAAACAGATTCTGATATATAAACCAGACCTGAACCAAAACCAAACCGAATAACTTGGACCACGGTTTTCAGTTTTTTGGGGTAACCGTGACAGCCCTAGATAAAATTTTTGAAAATTAAGTCAAACGTCAATGTCACAGTGCCAAAAAGCATATTTTATTTAGAAAGGTCTTGTCACAGGTAATGTACGTATATAATATGAGAGCCCAATCTTTTCTAATTTAAATTATATGACCAATTTAAAGTAATGTTAAAATTGTTGAAGGAAAGGTCAAACTTCATGGTAAAAAATCATAATGAATTTGAGAAGGTATTGTCACAGGTAAATAGGTAATGAATGTGTCAAATATAAAAGCCCTATCTCTTCTCAATCAAGTTTTAAGCAAAGATGAAATTTTTGAAAAGAAGGTCACACTTCAAGGTCATGCAGTCAAAAACCATAGTATATTTGAAAAGGTATTGTCACAGGTAATGTACACATGTAACATGACAGTCCTATCATTTCTCATTCAAATTTATGAACAATTTAAAGTTGTATTAAAATTTTAGAAAGGGGGTCAAACTTCAATGTCACAGGATCAAAAATCAGAGTATATTTGGAAAGGTCTTGTCACAGGTAATATACATGTGAAATATGAAAGCCATACCTCTTCTCAGTCAAATTATGAGCAAAGAAAATAGATCAAACTTCATTGTTATCCATGTAATTTAGAGTTTGATGCTTTGTTTTACAAGGGTTCAAAATTCCTCAAGCCGACATTGGGGACTTTGTAATTTCGGTTCCGGACTCGGCATTTAGAGTATAAACAAAAGTCTGAGGAATTGGCATTATATTGTAATTTATAATAATTTTATAGAACCCCAGAAATATAAGCAAAAAAATCTCAAACAGTATGAACATCTCTTGAGGCCATCGTTAAAAATATCTTTGTTTCCCCTAACCCGACCCTCTAATCACAAGTTGGGTAGGTAGGTAGGTAAATATTTTTTTTTTTAGATAGCAGCTTTGAAAATACCTTCTAATATTTAATGGAAAAATACCTTTATAAATAAGAACAATACAAAAGAAAGCGATTTGTAAACAGATTATCACACAAATGCCATTGGAAAGTTATGTTTAAGGTAAATTAAATTCACAGGTATTTTTCATTTGAACTTGTAAAATATCTCAAGCCAGTGTAAATTTATTGAAATCGAATATTTAAAAAGACGATTCTCAGATACGCAAAGGCAGGGCATTCGAGTATTTTTCAAATCTACTATCAGCTTCCAGTGCTTAAAGGGTTTTTATCACGTATCTAAATTTCTTAAAAATGAAACACTTTTATATTCTTGAAACATATTATTATCGTTTAATTATGAAATAATGTTGAAAACGGTCGTAATTAGACGATAAAACGCCCGTAATATAGGGTCCTCGAAGTAAAAATCTCCACTAATTAGATAGGGGTCACGTGGTACTGAAACGTCATAGGTGTCAATGGTCAATAGAACTCGTAAAGCTTATCGTAAGAAAAAAAATATATTGAATAGATTTTTACTCTAAATAAATAGAATACACAGTATGGCCGGTTGAAATTTTGACACAGATTATATTCCTTTGGTTATGGACGGTCAATCTATCAGGTATAAACGTCTAGCAGAGAGAAATAACCCGAAAATATGCCAACAATTGGAGAGAGGTCACGGAAGATGAAGCCGTTGACAACTCGGGACTTCAACTAAATAGAATGAATTACTAAAGTTTAATTTCGTAAACATTTATAAATATGGGAATTTTAAATTCCTCTTCATTATTATTTTGATTAATCATAAATAAATAAATCCTGTATATCTTCTTTCTGTTCTAGCAGTGCATATCATGTACTAGAAATGAGTCAAATGACACTTCTTCAATGGCGCCATACGCCATTACGAAGTTCACAACATTCCTACTAGATTCTGTGCGACTTTTAATAAATGCGTGTTTGTCATTTATTATTTTCTTTAAAAAGTATCTTTCCTTAAAATATTTTATAGGACAGAAGAAAAAAATCGCGATTGATCGGGCATAAACGATTGTTCTGAATGGAGATAAACACCATCGCATTTGCAGAAAAAGGCCCCTCTTTTATCTCTCGACCAAGTCCAGGAAATGTCGGGGAAAAATTCTTCCTAAAACCTTTCTTGTGCACATTGGTGCACCATAAAGCCATAAATTATACCTTACAAGTTGTCAATTATTTAATTATCACTTAATTATTTTCTAACAGGTTTAAAAGACACAACAAATGAGCCCTTTCGTATACACAATAAGTACTTCGCTTGACCAGGATTGACACCTATGACGTCAGAGCAATGGCGCGTAACATCGGCGATCAAAATATGCATATTGAGAAATTCAATCTTTGAATCGCTGAAACATCAAAAATATTAATTTTCTAGCAAAGATTTTTAAATATATGATTTTAATAGCATGTAAACTTTGTCATATCAAAAAATTTTGAAACGTGATAAAAACAATGTACTTTTTCAATATTTAATTGAACCACACCATATCTAAAAATGCCACATACAATGTCATAGTCACGAAGTTTAACCCATGAATAAAAGGCATGAAGAAAGGGCGTCTGAATTATATTCATCAGGATGAAATATGCGGACATATTACAACTCCTATGGAACATAGATGAACTGTATATTAGATCAAAACTCATATTAAATAAAACGCAATGAAATTGATTGATGTAGGATTCGAGTAAGCTAAAGGCATAAGATTGATACATCGCCGTTGTTTTATAACACCGTATATTGTATTCCTCGGTGACACATGATATGGGCACCAATTTTGTTCCAGCAAACACTTGAAAATCACAGTAAAGCAAACACTTGAAAATCACAGTAAAACAATATTGACCTTTCTGATATAAACGGATTTTGATCAAATTGTATTTTATAAAAATTAATAATCATAAAAAAAAATGTTTGAATAATCTTATTGAAAAAAACTTTTCAGTCGGCGCGATTTAATCGGGTCAGTCGCGTTAGGGGAAACAAAGGTATTTTTTATTTTGGCCTGAGCATCAAAAAAAAAAAAATTGAATCCCTTTGTTATTATTATCATACAAAAGGATGAAAATTTAAATTTAATATTTTGGGGAAGTCCTACAATTTTCTATCGACTTAGTTAAAAAGGTTCTCAATGAATCTTTTCATATCTCTCAGAAAAGATTTATTTTAAAACAATAAAACCATGCACCCTGCTCAATTAAAAGATAGAGAATATGTGTGATAATGTTTTCAACTGAAATAATTGCAGATCAAGAAAAAACAGAGAGAATTGCTGCAGACCTTAGAAAGTTTAAAAATAGAATTTGAAGCTATAGACATATCAGATCCAACTAAGGAGGAAGAAAAAAAGTTCATGAGGGCTAACAGTAAACCCGCTCAAGAGGGCAAGGTGCCCCTCCCACCTCAGGTGTTCAACAATGATGATTACTGTGGGGTAAGTTGTGTTATCAGGTGTACAGGGAAACATGCTGTCCAGTAAATACTATGCATAATACCACAAATGTAAAAGGTCAGATTACAAAAGTTGATTAATGAACAGAAGTAAATGGAAAAGAGTAAGGGGTGTAAAGTACTTGAGTAAGTTGTGGATTCTGTTCCAAAATACTGAACTGTCATGAGGTAAAATTGTGTCTAAAAATTTCCCTTAATTTTGCAATTGCAGGATTTTGATGCTTTTTCGGAGGCCTTAGAAGATAATCAGTTATATGAATTCCTAAAACTTGCACCACCAAAGGAAGTCTCTCAAGCATCCGTTACAGTGACAGGGGTGAGTACTAAAGACAATATATAATAAGTATGGAGCAAATAATTCATGTAGCAGACTTTGTTATTAGTTCTAAATTACTTAATCAACATATACTGTATGATTACAGCAGTGGTTTCATGTTGACAAACATGTATTTAGATGATGAAAACATCTTGTTGCTAATTATTTAGAGATAAGGAAACTATGTTATTTAAAGTGTACGCTTTAAACATGTCATGGTCTCACACATTTATTAGGAGGAAGAAGAAAAGAAAGACGAGGTATACCAGCATGAGCATGGAGTTCAAAGTTCAGCAGTCATTTCTTTTATAAGTGCATACTCATCACAAGGCTCTGATTTTCATCAGTTATTTTTTAGAAGCTATTAACACATTTTAGAAGATTTGAAAACATTTATTTGTCTAAGGAGCAAATGCGCCCAGCGCAGGCAATCTGACAATTATGTTGAGTCCAGTAATGATATACTGTGGATCATCAAAATTTTTGCTACAACTTTTTTCGATCAAAAGATATTTGGTATTTACTAGCATAAAATTTTTTCATGAATTCCGATACCCTTTGTAATTGTTTTATACAATCTTCTGTAATGAAATAAAAATAAAAGAATGAAATTTTCGTGAGCGGACAGTCTCACATAATTACACAAAAATAAAAGTCTTGCGAAAAAAAAGTGATTTACAGTATGCACTTATAAAAAGAAATGACTTTGATTATTTATTACTAAACTAAAAGTTCCTTTACAGCAGATTGTTACAGATTTATTCCCTTGCATTTTCACATTAACTGTTAGTATGTTGTAATTTGTTTATATATGGAAAATTGAATGTTATGAAAAGGAAAGGTATTCTAAATGCTATAAAAGAAAGGTTGATAGAATTAAATTAAAAATCCTGAAAAACTCTGGTGATAAGATATTGTAAATACATAAAACCTAGGTGAAGAATTGATATTGTCAATACAAAGAATTTGGATGATAAATTAATATTGTCTGGACATAAAAAAAAATACCTCAATCTGGGTGATAAATTGATATTGTTTATGCAGGATGAAAGAGAGAAGGAGGACGAGGTATTGGAGCATGGGCATGATCTGTAGAGTTCAAAGGTCATCTCTCCCATCAAGTCACAATTCATCTGATCACTTTTCAGTTCCATTTTCTCTTGCAGTTGTTTTGGAACTGAAACTAAGAATAAGACACTCCAAAATTTACGAAAATTACCTTTTATTTTTTTAATTTTGTGAACTCGTAGAAGAATTCTCTACCAGAATTAGTATATAGTTCAGTTTTAATCCATTTGATATAAAATGAACTTGTGATTGATGGAGGAGATATGCAGTTAGTCAGAAAGTTTGACATGAGTTTATATATTGAAGTATTTAAATTCTTTATTTTTTAATTGGAAATTTTGCATTTTACTAACAGTACAACTTCAGATGCTTATATATATAAAACATTAGAATATCAGAAAATGTAATAGGATGGAGGAATAATTTACACATTTAAGTACCTTTATTATGCACATTTAAATGGTTAATAGAGGGTGATGAATGGTAAACTGTAGGAAAAAGCTGTTTTGATTGAGGATGTTGCTGCTGAAGATGCAAAGAAAAATGAGGAGGAAGAAGCAGAAACAGGAGAGAAAGCCGATCAAGAGACAAGTGAAAAAGAGGCTGCACCATCAGAGGAGAAAGTGGAAGGTGAAAGGTCAGAGGGTGAATCAAAAGAGGAGGGGTCACCAACAGAGGGTGCTGATGAAAAGGCAGGGGAAGATGTGAAGGAGGAAAATGAGGAAGCAAGGAAAGAAGAGGAGGTATAGCAGGCATGGGTTGAGGAGATGATGTCCCAGTACCATCTAAATAATGGAAGAACTTCGATCCACTCCCTCTTTTAATAGAAATCAGCATGTGTGGGTTTATGAATGTCATCTACATTGCACTTGTATTTTCATAGTAAAAGAACTTTGATCCACTCCTCCTTTAGTAGAATACAGCATGGTGTGAAGAAAATCCTCCCACAGTCTTTCCTTGAAGAACTACAGCATTTAATGAAAATGGAAACTTGAGTTTTACACTTTGTTTGTGAAAAGTTCCTTATGCAGTGTAGAATTTGACAATTTTTTTTTTCCAAACCACTTTTTTGCTGTATCAGCATCATGCTGAGGTCATAGAGAAAATCTGAACTCCTTGCATGGTTTGGTATTTCTCTGATTGATCCCTGGAACATGTAGATTGAAGAACATTCTTTTGACAACCCCATTAGAAAAAAACAGAAGTGATTGATTGATAATACATGTACACTGTCTTGTATTTGTACATATATAATCAGAAAGAAGTAATAAACACTTAATGGAGAAAGCCTATTCTTACTAAAGCATGGGGTGTTACTCTGCCTATCAGATGTCTAACACTTTCAACCATTTGGTCTATAAAGAATGCAAGACACAACAGACACATTTAGACACTAGACAGATTGTACCTCAGGACAGCTTTTGTGAACTAACAGCATGATCAGATCAACAAAGATATTATTTGGAATATAGACATGAAAGTCTCTTTTTACAAGACTATTAAAGGATACAGTTTCAGCATTGAAGTTCTTTTGTTGATTTTGTATTTATTTCCTCACAGGAGAAACCTTTGGACAAAGATGCTGAGGAATCCAAGGTAAATTCTGCAGATTTTTAAATAATAGATATCAATTAAATAATAACTCTTGTCAACCTACAGTGATTCAAGTGAATTTTAAGTAACTAAAATTTTTGGAGTATTTTTCATATTCAGTAAGTAAGATGACATTGTTAAGAATTCCAACAAAAAAACTTGGTGATTTAACTTGCAATATAGTCCTTAAATGATATATCCGTTGCCATGATTCCATGAAGGTTGATGTTTTTGCGTTTGTCACGATATACATGTATTTGTTGTCAGGATAGAGAGGCTGAAAATACTGGGGCTGATGTAAGTTGGTTTGCATGTGAGTTGTGTCTAGATGTTTTTAAAATCTTCAAAGTTCAGTGGAGTCAACATGGTGCAAGCTATTTGACATGTTAGTGTACATACATGTTTGGCAGTAATGTATGTAGTATGATTGTCATATTTTTGTGTGTCCATTGTTGGCAGGAATTGGACCAGTCTGCTACAGAGGCACCACCATCTGTAAGTAGCATGGTGTGTGGTTCCTTCTGCTCAAGGAATGGCTTGATATATTGTTTTGTGCTTTCTTAATGAGATGTCCCAGTAGGGGTTTTTAGTATCTGTATACAGGCTAAACTTTAAAGTGGTCACTGATTTGTTACAGGAAGAAAAATCAGATGTCAAGTCTGAAGTAAGTAATGCCCAACAGTTACTGGTAACAGACTCGGGTTTTGGTTGTATGAAAATTAGAAATCACTTACTGAAGTTGAGGTGTTGTAAACTTTTAAGATACGTGTAAATGCAGTAGTGTACTGTATATCTTAGCCATGCTTATTGTCAAGTAGAGCTATATCACTGTTTGTGGGCCTATAAATAATGCCTTGTAAATACATTCATGTTGTACATGTGCTAGGAAACGGACCAGGCTGCTGAGGAAACTGTTGTTGTGGAAACTGATGTAAGTGAGCAAGGTCTTGAATATGTTTGAATGTATTTAGTGTCATTAATTGCCTTTGCTATAGCTTTGTCACACTGTGGCATGAATATTGGTCGCTAATTTTTAGGATGGCAAGGAAACATATGCAGAGGCTGTTCTTGTTGTGGATGATGTCGTAAGTTTATTGGAGTTTATTCAGCATTTTTAAAACTGGAAATGAAGTTAAATTCATGAATAAAAAGTGATTTGCAAGCTAAGATGCATGTATTGGAGTTTCTAGGTGGAAATGTTTTGTTAGGAAACCAAGGAGGTAGACAAAGAGGAGACTGCTGTAAGTGGCATGCCGGTTTGGAAGAATTTTTTTTTTTAAAGTGTGAAATTAATTTCTAAAAGAAGTAAAAGCTGGCTTTTTGGCATTTGCAAAGTCATTGAAGTTCAGAAAAGTCTATGTTGGACAGCATGAATATTTGTTTTGTGTTTTACTGTAATAGGAGTCAAAGCTACAAGATGCAGCATCCTCTGAACATGTTGAAGTAAGTGGATTAATTTGGGGTGAAAAGTTTTGGTAGTCAAGGAACCATAGTAGGCATGATTTAGTTGTCGGTTGTAATTTTTGTGATAAAAAAAAAATCACAGATACCAGGAAAACCTATAAAGTAAGGGTTTGATAAAATCATTTGATTTCAGACAGGAATGATGATGCAAAGAAAAAAGACACAATAGTTCCTGGTAGTATTTAAGTAAAAAGGAGGGAAAATATTTACTTTTTAATTGTTTAAAGAGAAATATATGTATTAAATATCTTGCTGATGACTGGAAGTCATTTGTAATATATTGCTTGTTACAGGAGACCTCTATAGAAAAGAAATCTGATGTAAGTGATTAGTGGGTCAGGCTTTAGTATTCATGCTAGGGAATCTAGGGACTCTAACTTCTGGGTAAAATTATTGTCCTCTCCCTTTAAGAGGGAGATGCAAAGTTAGGGACAGATGTTAAAAAAAAATGAATGCCTAAGGTTGATATATGTATTTCTTGGATCTATTTTGGTTTTAAATGATGCAAATATCAAATTTCTAAAATATTAAGAAATTGTAAACTTTCTATGATGTTCAAAATTCTACCTTTTTGCTGTCACCCTTATAAATCTATACAACTTTTAATCACTTTATGGAAGATTTTTGTGAAACAAAAAATTAAAATCTTTGCTGCTAGACTTGTTCATTTAACAAATATTAACATGGCTTTAGTTGTTATTTTGATGATGTTTTAAACAGTTATTCTGTATCATCTGTCCATTAATCAAGGGAGTAATGTTTGCAGATTTTTCATTTTTTCAAATTTATGTGTCTGAGAATTGTGGTGTACTGAATAAAGGAAGTAATTTTATTTCTTTGTGGATAAAACTTGTTATTATGACTTAGTTTTATGTGTTCAGTGGAAATTTAACTGTTGACAGGAAACTGGAGCACTTGAAATAAGAGAAGATAATGTAAGTGACTAGTGTCATGAATAAGAACATTATTATTTAATTAGAAAGGGATATATTTAAGTTTTGGTGTATGGTCTTGTTGTTATGTTGATAAGACATTTTAGCTTCCATCAAATTCACTTTGGTGTAAGATGGGTGCATGTACTTGTGCCTTTGAATGGCATGCTTGAAGTTCAATAAAACAATGACTGACAAAATAGGAGTTGAAATTCTAGTTCTGAATGCATTGAGTTTAGGACTAAATTTTGCTTTGATTGATATGTTTGTTATGTTTTTGTATCAAGTGTAGAATGGTGTAGTAAATGTATACATGTTTGTGTACTAATCAGTATTGACTTTGTATGATTATCTGCTCATTATCTAAAAAGGTAAAAAAAAACAAAAACAATAAAATACCCAATCTACTCCATAATGGTAGGCAACTGAGCCAGCAGTTCTCTTGCAGACATTCGTAAGTGGCATGGTGTGATTTCTATGTGTCTCTTCAATAGTGTTGACAAATGTAGAGTTTAGTATGTTTGGATTTGGATTGCCATGTTACTACAGATGTCTTTCATCTAAATCAAAGCTGTGGCAAATTGTTTAAAATAAGATGTAAAAGTTGAAAAGGAAATTTAATATTGCAATTTATGGTAGCCTTTGTTGTAAGGTGCTATTTTTCTGCTGTCATTGACTTACTTTTCAACCTCCAGGAAAAAGAGGAGGAACCAGGCTCTCAACCTGATGTAAGATATAAAACTTGTCAAAGCTCTTTTGTGGTTTAGTTGGACAAAATAAAATTTTACTTGGGTTTACCATCAGATTAAAGGCAACTACTAAAAGTTTTGTGCAGAGGAACCAGTAACATAATTCATTGTTCAGTATTTAAAGATTTTTTATGCATTAAAAGGATGTCAAAGAAACCACAGAGGATAAACCTGGAAAGGAAGAGGAACCAGCTAAAGAGGAACCAGAACTTCTCAAGGAAGAGGAACCAGTCAAGGAGGAGGAACCAGTCAAAGAGCCAGAACCTCTCAAGGAAGAGGAACCAGCCAAGGAGGAGCAAGAACCAGTCAAGGAAGAGGAACCCCCCAAAGAAGAAGTGAAAGAGGAAGTGAAAACTGAGGAGAAGGAGGAAGAAATAGATTTTTGGGCACAGATTGGTAAAGATGATGATGATATTGGTAAGAAGAAGAAGCCAGCAGTAGTGGAGGAGCCAAAGGAACCAAGCCCAGTGCCAGAAACAAAGACAGCTCAGGAGGAAGATGAGGATGATGACTCGATGGAGGCCAGAAGGAGGAGGAGGAGGAAAGAAAGAGAGGCAAAGGAAGCAGCTGATGCAACAACAGAATCAGCAGAGGACAGTCTGGAGGAACGGCGCCGCAGACGCCGGGAGGAGAGGAAGGCCAGGGAAGATGCAGATTCCACAGAGGTGGAGAGTGCTGCAGAGAGAAGGAGAAGACGTAGGCGTGAAATGGCTGATGATTAGGTAACAATGCATGAGGCTGTGTCTCAGAGTGTGTAGACTAACCAGAAGTCAAAAACAAGCATCAAGTACATATAACCAAGAAACTTAAAGTAACATCAAGTGACTAGAGGAATGTACAAGCTGAAGATTATAACGTGTAATGAAAAAGGCATGAATTCTTAATCTCTGCATAGATGTAATCACAGAACTGGTAGTTATAATTCAGAAACTTAGAGTAGCATCAAGTAACAAGAGTGTCTGTATGTACAAACTAAAGACTATAACATGTAATGAGAAAGGCATGAATTCCTAATTTCAACATTGATTTAACACAGAACTAGAGAAAATTCATAGGCATGCTGAACTACTCACTGCACAGATGATAAAATATACAATAAAGGAGCATAGACAAGCATTGTGATGAATGATAATGTGCAAAATCTAAACTGACCAAAATGTTTGTGCACATGTACATAATATATGATAGTTTTTTAACACTTTAAAATTGCTGTCAGCATGCATTGTAATAATATATTTTCAATATATTGAAAAGAAGAAAGAAAAACTATAATGTGTGATTAAATTTTGATAATGGGAATCTGTGAATGACCAGACTGAAGATGGAAGGTAGTACTGCATGGTGAACTTGTTCTAATGGATGCTTGAATTGATTATATACTGATGTTGCTGTGACCTAAGTCAAGGACAGTACTGATGTAATACTAATACTTCATCTTGTATACTGAGGAGCAGTTATTGGTTCTGACTATATACTGACATTGTACTAACTTATACTGTATACAGGGAAATTTTAGCCCCCATTTTATTTTTCGTCCCTTTTGCCCTTGTCACAAGTGGGCGAATTTAAAATGGGGTGAATTCAAAAAACACAGTATAATTCCTGAAACAAAACCATGACTGGGCGAATTTTAAAACGGGGCAAAATGGTTTGCAAGTGTAAAAGGGCGAAAATAACCCTGTATACAGTAACTCAGTCTACAGAATATTCAGTATATCGTGGCATTGAATTTTATTTGAAATTCAGGAGCATGTCATTGATGAGAAATTTTATTCATGTATGTATTTTGTTTATTTTTTTTGTTTAATTAACACTAAGAGTTGTTCTTTTATTTTATTGTTTAACACTGATAATTACTCTTTGGTTTGTTAATTAAGTAGAATCATTTGTTAAGCAATACCTACAGTTAATAAAATATTATTACCAATTTGACTAATTTATGTTGCTGTATAATATATAATTTATTTTACCCATTTGCTTTGTGTTAAAAGAGTGTATGATACTGACATAACTGTGTGTGAATTTTCAGCTTCCAGACACCCTGTGTTTCAATTGCTTGAACTTCTGTTGTTGTAAGCTTGTACACTTGTTGGTTAAGCTTTGTTTTGGTTTCAATAAAGTTACGTGCAGAAATTGTGTTCATGTTGTTTCTCATTATAATTGTTAAGAATGCTGATGTATTTCTTAAAAACTGAATGGTAGATTGTTAATATTATTAGTTTTCTGTTACTGTTTGAAGTTTTACACAACTTTCATACCATTTATACTACTAGTATGGATGCAAACTGTTACTAACAAAACTTTTTTTTCAGGTTATCCTTTAGAATTTGTTATTATGTTTCTTTAATGATATTTTATGATTTACAGTTCTCAGCATACTAATGCAATAAAAGCAATTTTAATTAAGCCACGAACAGTTTAAATGAAGTAACCTATGGATGAAGATGTCAATTTATTAAAATGTTCATGAATTATATCTTTTTTTTGTTTTTAATTACTTTTTCATTATTTTTTCAGGGAAAATCCGAGGATGAATAAAGAAACCTTAGTCTTTCCCAGGTAATAATTGATGGAAAAAATGACCCAAAAATATACTGTAAAATCACTAATTTTCATGAGGGAATAATTTTCATTGTTTTCAAGGTATGAGAGACCCACTAATTTATGTCCACCATGAAATGTAATTTTTTCACATATATTACTACTCAACATTTCTTCAAGAAATCAAATCCCCACCAACCAATATGTTTTCTTCAAACCACGAAAATTTGACCCCTCCAAAACGTGATTTTACAGTATTCTATCCAAACTGAAAATTAAGACTTTTTTAAAAAAAAAACTATAATAACTGAACATATATATGCAACATTATGTCCTACAGTAAATGCTGATGTATTGGTTAAACCTCTTAAAATTTAATTGCCATGAACAATATGGATGGAATCGATGAACATAATTTTGCTCATCGGAATGAGACAAAAAATCGTATTTTAGAAAAATCTTTTTGTTTTGCAGGTGCTATTTAACAATAGGAATGCTGCCTATCTCTTTCTTAATCATATCCAAACACCTCCAAGCGCAATGATCTACCAGTGGCAATTTTTAGTGAGATTATTTCTTCAGAACTGGGATGACCACAGAGAATTTTTCATTACTTGTGATAACATACATTCTATTGCTCTCTTATTTCCCTCAATTTTTCGATGTGCAATGTTGCAATGTGACTTTTCGGAGGGAACTCTATTATGTATTATTCAGAGATACAATGAACAAATATTCTTTTAGTTTTAGATATTTAAGAATTATGATGCTGTTATTGTGCGTTGCTAGAGTCTTTGGTTAAGGTTTGTGAATCATTGTCCTTGTAGCATTTTTGTAATTGGCTTTTGTGCAACTGTTGTGTGACCCCCAGCTCTCACCCCACCCCCATCCAAAAAAAAAAAAAAATACTGCATATGTCAAATTTGAAAACATAACATCAGAGTGAAAATGCGTTTCTCAAATATTTTTGGTTAGTGTACATTGTGTCATGAAAGTAAAATGAAGTAAATTGAAAAAGTACTTAATTTTTTTTTCATTATTATGAATATTATATTACTGATGCTCAATTTATCTGTCTGAGTTCCAGAAGTTTAAAATTATAGAATCTCTTGTCAGTGTTGGAAAAAGAAATGTAGATTTTTAGTGCTTAGTGTAGGAAGTTTCTTTTTTTATAAAGTTTTATTATTTTATATATATATTAATACTTGTTTATATATGTATAGTTCCTTTATTGGCTCATTTAGCATTAAATAGCAGTCCCACCTTATTCATTGTGTCTCTTGCTTTAGAAAGTCTCAAGAATACTTTTGAATTAATTTTATTTGCATTATCTGAGAGAAAAGTATTATCTAATAATAAGTTTTCAAGTATGGATTTATGCTTCTTTACTCTTTTTGCTTTTGATTTCCATTATATAAAAGAATCTGTCATAAGAAAAGCATTTGAAAAATTATTAAAGACCAAAACTCGGGAACTTTTTATCCATCATTATTCTACGCATGTTTGTGCTGAAAAGTTGAATATTATCTTGTTTAATGTATTGTCTTTACTAACTTGTTTAACGATAAATTGTGTTCATATTTCAAGCAAGCTGTGCCTGTCAATAGTGGCAGAAACAATGGAATTGTAATGTTTACATCTTACAGAGTAATTTTAATTTGTTTGCCAGTGCCATGTGAGACACCAGCTTTTAGTCAGCTTTAACAGGGAATTGTGGGTAGCGTTTATTTAAGTTTTGTTACATGACATGTCTTAGTTTGTTTGTTACAATTTTTCCTTGTCTTTCACACAACAAATTTCAATGTATTAAAAGTTCAGAGTTTTGACACAACATCGTGTTTACCAGTGCTGATTTTTCTGTAGAACTTTGAAAATTTTTATTATTTACTGTATATGCTTTATTAACATGTACTCTTATCTTGCCATGATTTAACTTTAATTTGCTTTTGATGTGTCAGGTAACTTGGTAATTAATGAATTATGCTTGTCAATCTGAAAGAAATCATCCCCCTGTTAAATTGATTTAATAGTATATGTATCTGTTGACTTTTGTGAATGGTTTGTTCAAAAGGATTTGTCAGTATGTAAAAAAAATTTGCATTGAAGTATTTTGTCAGAACTTATTTCTGTATTTCCTGTTTGTAACATTAAAATTAGTACTAAGTACCAATTTTAGTCAATTCTTTTCAAAAACAAAAAGATTGAAGAGTTATTACCAGAATGGGAATGTTCTTATCATTGATTTACTTGCTTGGTTCTCCCTTTGGCATGTCTAAGACCCTTGTCATAGACATCATCCCTATGGTACTGTCTGTGACCCTTGCCTTAGGCTTCATCTCTATGGCTCTGTTTGTGACCCATGTCTTAGACTTCATCTCTATGTATCTGTCTGTGACCCTTGTCTTAGACTTCATCCCTATGGCTCTGTCTGAGACCTTTGTCGTAGACTTCACCCCTACGGTTCTGTGACCCTTGCATTAGGCTTCATCCCCACTGCTCTTTCTATGACCTTTGTCTTAGACTTCATCCTTACTGCTCTGTCTATGACCTTTGTCTTAGACTTCACCCCTGTGGCTCTGTCTGTGACTTTGTCTCAGGCTTCATCCCTATGGCTCCGTATGTGACGTATTGGGTGTCCACAAGTGGTTCAGAAAAAGTGTGCCACATCTCGGAATTCAAGGCATTAGCTAAATAGTTTCTGTAAATACTAGCATCAGTGCTAGTATCATATATCTATATTTTACTGTCTCCTGGAGCATATTCTGATCATGAAAACAAAGGTTGTTGATACGCAATGTGTTTAACTTGGGAAAACTAAATTTAAATGAGAAAACATTCTGAATTTTTGCATTTAGTAGGTTTACTTGAAATTAGGACCCACCGTTAAAAAAAAAAGTCCAGAGCTGTTGAATTTTGAGCTGCTTACATTTTTTTAAAGGGTCGTTTGAAGGTAAAATATATTTGGAAGTTTTGGTCAACCAATCCAACATATTGGAAATTGACGGTGTTGGATTAGCATATAAGAATTGTAGTTAAGGACTTAGGGAGTACATTTGACATTTTCCTTGCGAACTTGAAATTCGACCCCTTGCTGCGATTTACGTAAAAATGAAAGTGTAATTTACTAATATTAGGTAAAATAATGTTAAATGTCATTTAAATGTTTGTAGCAGACTTTGTCAAGTATTGGGTAGTCTGCAAAACATATTTTGTGAAGTATACTGGAAACAAAAAGGAAAGGAAAGACAAACGAGTTAAATTCAACTTTGTTCTTTCTATGAGTTAGGAACTTGGATGTTAAAACACGTGGATATTGTGGGAAAAACGTTAAAATACCACTTCAATTCAAACAAAAATTAAGATTTTATGCTAGGGCAATTCGTGCTTCAAGCAGGCCCTAAGGTAAGGGAGCGATTTCATGGGGGAGGGGGACATAAGAAATTCAGAGGGGACACAACCTCACAAAAATTCTTTGACGAGCAAAAAGGTCATCAGGCGTTACAACCAAGGCTGCACAACCGTAAAATAGCTTTATTATCTATTGGACAGTATATACTGGCAAAATTATTGCTCTTCCCGCCGGTTCTTATACGGGTCTGTCAAGTCGATTTAATTGTCCCAAGCCCGTAGAGTAAAGTATACTTGTATTCTGCTTTAGTAAATTTTCATTTACATGCTGGATGCCACCCCCCTTCCCCACTCCCACTTTTTGTTGCTGTAAGGTCGAGCACTTGCAAATAAATTCCTGAATTTGGACAGTATGATTTTTTTTTCGGGGGGGGGGGCAGATTTTGGGGGGAAGTTACACCCCCCCCCCCCCATTTTTGAAACCGTTGCTACGGGCCTGTGTCCAAAGTAGTAGTGAATGAAAACCGTACTATGGAATCGGTCTTTACAGAGTACTGAGACGCTGGTCTCAGTGTAGCCTCACAAAGCAGTACAGTGATGTACAATGATGTGATGATAAATAATTTTCACTACATGCATTAACTATTTTTATACAATATATTGTATCTTGACAAGGTCAAGCCACTTTCACTTCAATCAGAAATACAATAGTTATCTTGTGTCCATTGCCGGAGCCAACCAATAGAAAGAAAAGTCAGTACATAATATGTATTTTTCCTTCCTGCCTGGCGCACCTTGCAGCCAATTGCACAAACAGCCTGCGACCCGTGGAGAAAGATGGCAAAGGGCTCACTGTTTCGTTTGTTGGTTGCTTTAACGATTTGTCTGTCATTTGCAGGATCAGAACTTGGTATGTACTAACTAAAGTTTCATGTTATGATGCTTTAAATACATTTCATATCTTTAAAGCAATATGATTTCGTGAAAAAGAAGACATTATTTAACTTAAAGTTACGGAGTTTTACAGTGTAAAAAAATCTATGCGACTGATACTGCATATGGTTGTGTCACTATATACACTTGAGAGCCACATATAAGAAATTTACAGTGCATGACTGTATACGTGCCACTACACGTATGAGAATTTTACAGTACATGACTACGACACGTATTAGAAATTTACAGTATATGACTGTACGTGTCACTACACGTATAAGAAATTTACTGTATATGGCTATACGTGTCACTACACGTATAAGGAATTTACAGTATATGACTGTACGTGCCACTACACGTATATGAGAAATTTACAGTACATGACTGAACGTGTCACTACACGTATAAGAGACTATACGTGCCACTACACCTCAAAAAATTATACGGCATATGACTGTACGTGTCACTACACGTATGAGAAAGAACAAGGTACAGTTTCAATACAAATCTTGCCCTGTGTTTTTCTTAAAAATAAAAGTGATGTAAAAAATTAAAACTCATGCTTTTTGAATCATTGAAATTCCATGCAGAAAGATCATACAAATCTTTTTTCTCACATGACCTTCCAAATGCTAATTGTGACGTCATAAACTTGTGCATTTTCCCGTATTTTCTAAAAAGTTGCAGAAGACACCAATTTTCAATGGAATTTTCTTTCAGATAATATTGTCCACAGGCATCGCCCACAAAGATTTTGAGATATGTGATTTTTCAAAGAATTTTACACAACATATCTAAAAATTAACGTGGGCGACGGCTGTGGACACTATTTTTCATAAGGAAAATAACCCTTGAAATTGGTAATTTTGAGGCTTTTTCTGTTTAAAATAGAGAAATGCATCAAATTAATGACGTCATATATCCAGAATGGTACTCCATCATGCTATATTCTTTCCTGATTTATTACAGTCATATACTCAACTAATATTTAAGCCAGTTTCAAAACTTTTTGAAAACATTAAATTTTTAGGGCACAATAAAGCTAAAACCATACCTTCTTCTTTACAGGACACTACACGTATGAGAAAACAGGAGACGACTGTACTAAAGTATATTATGCCACTTCTGATTTTTACTGTATTTCACACATGTATGTTAAAAGTTTGTTGATATAACAAAAAAACCCTGTAAAATTTGCAGAAACCGTGATTTACGTATACGTACGCAAACATTGGAGGCCCATTGACGTGTACTAAAATATGCAGTCTTCACGCGATAGTACGATCGTCGCCTTCATATTTTTTTAAAGGCATGCAGGTGGCATTTTGATATAAAATTGCAACTAAATGTAGCAAATCACACGCTCTATAATTTCGCCTTAACAAAAAAGTTTGCGTTTGTCATAATGGGAGATAATGGTTGACTAAACTACATCTGTTTGAATTTTTCAATATAGACTCACAGGCACTTGTTTCATTAACGAGGCACCCCCACTTATTTTTACCACAAGGTACCTAACTCAATTTCAGGCACCCCCGCTTCAAGCTTGTACTTTGTTCATATATCAATCATTAACCTACTTTAAAATCATATCGTTCGCTTCGAGAGACTTTTTTCTTGTTAAATAAATCCTTTCAGACGTCTTCTGGTTGAGCCTCTTTATTGCCCTACAGACCTTTACCAAAAGACCAAATAACGATCTAATTTTCACACAGTTGAAGAATTTCAGCAACCGTCCGTGGAAAACATCGACAGCAACAAAGTATTCCTGGAACACCAGTCTTCCAGCGGCATACATTATAAGAGGGAGGAAATTCTTTCACACTGGCCTCACCAAAGAGTCTGTTCTATAAAGTGTCTTAGAAGCCATTATCATCCAGTCTGTGGGTCAGACGGCGTCACTTACTCGAGTCCTTGTATGGCCAATTGTCTGTGAGTCACTTCTCTCAATTTTCTATTGTTACAGGTCCAATAAGAATAAGACTGCTGTATGGGTTTACTTGTTTATTTGATTGACTGGTTGGTTGATTCAGAGACCTATATATTATATAGTATATAGGTCCCTGGTTGATTGATTGAACCCTAAAATTGAAAATATATTATAAATACATGTAAATCTGCAAATACGTAAATACAAACAAACAAACATATATCACATGAAATATAATGGAATGACATCATGTTCAACACTATACGTTCCTTCATGATAAATACAGTATGTACAGCACTCTGAATAAAGGGCAATAACTCTTAATTTCAACTGAACAAATTCATAGGGCTTTACAGATAAAACATAAAAAATAGAGGTAAAAATTGATTGGTAATTAAACTTGGTAGATCAAAAATATTTGTCAAACATACTTTATAACCAATATTTTCAATAACCAATTCAAAGTAATGATTCTATTCGAAAGTTTCGTATTAAAACTTTTATTTGTTTTATTTGTAATGTAGCGGTGTAGGGGAGGAGTGTAATCGCCCGTGCCCCTGTCACCCTCATTCCATGTGTAACTGTGGAGGAGAGGTAGACCCAGTCTGTGGAACTGATGGCGTCACCTACAGGAATCCTTGCTGGGCCAAGTGTGGGTCAGTAAGAAGCATTATTTCTCCTTTACTTTTCATGCACAAAGAAATCATTAAATAAAAAGAAAAAAAAATTAAAATAAATCAGACATGAATGATGTATACCCAGTGACAATTTTTGTTATCACGTTGGGTATTTATTCCTTAATCTATAAATTTATGTTTCTGCGTGAAAGCTATGATGTCACTGGTCGAGGTAGCATTCTAACCTAAACGTTCCATAACTAGAGTAAAAAAAACAAACATATATTTTTATGTAAAAGTAATGCTGATGCGTGCATTTGAATAAGTGAAAAAATCAGATGATATCGAATAAATACCATAGACTAACAACCCAAAAATTTTATTTCCAAACTCATAAGCTTAACAATAAAACACTTCGAACACATTTTGTTACGATAGCAAACAGGAAAAGTGATTGATATTTTTAGGATTTGGAAATTTTCTTATCCTGACTACTACTACGTGTATGCTCACTTTCCAAAGGAAGTTCTTTTCACAATTGCAATGTTTTTAAAATAAACCAATCAGTTCATTGGACTGATTCTTTTTATCTTATTTTCTCAATTTTAATATGTTAGTCCCTAACTAGATATATATCGAATTTATTCGATCATGATTTCAAGTTGAAGGGAAAATATACGTTATTAGAATTCAAAGATCCTTATAAATGGGTTCTTCAGGTTTGCAAATGTAGAATGCACTGGACTGTGTCCTTGTGAACCAACGACAACTCCTACAACGCCCCCTGGCTGCAAGTGCCCGCCAATCACCAGTCTTGTCTGTGGTTCTGATGACGTCACATATGGAGGAGAGTGCATGGCAAACTGCAGGTGAATGTTTCAGCTATACCAATATCTCTATTTTTTCAGATTCAGATTTTTTATGCTTATTAGATTTTAAACCAGAACTGTATATAATGATTTATTTTGTTTGGTAGCGGTGTATCTGTCCAGTGTGAGGGCGCCTGTCCTTGTCCAGCCCCCTGTGTGTGTCCATTAAATATTGACCCCGTTTGTACTACTACTAACAAGACCATCGTTAACGAATGTACCGCCTCTTGCTTGTAAGCTTCATTTCATATAAAAATATAAACACTGAAACACTTTTTTTTTAATCAAGGGAGTTGACCTTTTGATAATCAGCAATAAAGAAGTTTGTTTAAATTCTGTAATGTTAGTAAATTCTAAACAGAAAATTGGGTTAGATACGGAATCCAAAAAAAGGACACCTGGTTCACTATCGCACATCGACTTTTGGGTTGGTGGCACAATGACCGATGGTGTGATGCTGCTGCGATGACAGTGGTTGACAGTGCGGTAGCGCGATGACGATGATGTCATAGCGTGATGGTGCTATGAAGCATATAGCTTCATCGTCATTGCTCCATCACGTAAAGGTGATTGCGATATCGCCATCGCTATTGCAATCATTACTATCGACCCCAAACCTCGATGTTGCGATAGTGTACTAAGTGGCCCTATCCAAATTCCATGGTGAGATAAGAAGTTCAAGCAAATTTGGTTTAATGTAGGGGGAAAACTTCAGAAAAATCAATGTTGAGGATGAAATTTTATAAAGGAAATATCGTAATTAATTAATTCATTTCATTGCTATATCTTTTACCAATGATCCATTCCTTTCTAGCTTTAATACTGATATTTTTTTTAAATTACACATTGGAGTTGTGAGATTATCATTACATTAAGTCTATTTATTAATTAGGGAAGAGGAAATTGCGTGTAATGGGAGTTGTCCATGCGTGAAGCAATGTCCATGTCCAAGAATATACAATCCTGTATGTGGAACAGATGGCGTTACATACGCCAATCCGTGTCTAGCACAATGTCAGTAAGTATAGTGTGTCAGTGGACATATAGTATCAATACTGTGTTATTGTTAAAACAAAGCATCAGTGATTGGGCATGGTAGACAGAGTGTCAGTGATTTGGCACGGTAGACAGAGTGTCAGTGATGAGACATAATAAGTGAGGAGACAGAAGTGCGAGTAGACATTGTCAGTGAACACTGAGTGTCCAGAGTGTAGACAGAGTGTCAGTGATTGGGCACGGTAAACACTGTCAGTGATTTGGCATGGTAGTCATTGATGAGACAAAATAAGTTAGGAGACAGACTGTCAGTCAGTGGACAATGTAACTAAACACAGTGTTAGTAGATGCTGTCAGTGATTAGGCACGGTAGACAGAGTGTCAGTGATGAGACATAATAAGTGAGGAGACAGACTGTCAGGTAGACAATGTAAGTAAACACAGCGTGATTAGACAATGTCAGTGAACACTGAGTGTCAGTGGACAGTGAGTAGACACATTGTCAGTGATTAAACAAAGTGTGAGCGATTAGGCAGAGTGACAGTGATAATGCAGACAATGCCATTAAGTAGACACTGTAAATGAAAAGATACAATACAATGTCAGTGAGTACATAGTGTCAATGAATAGAAATAGTGTAATTGATAAGACATTGTAAATGGGTAGACAGAGTGTCAGTCATTAGACATTGTCAGTTAATAGACACAATGAAAAGATACAATGCTAATGAGTACATAGTGTTAGTGAGGTGATACAATGTCAGTGAATAACCAATATAAGTTGGTAGACAGACCTTAAGTCATTAGACATTATCAGAAAGGAAACGCTATCAATGAAAAGGCACAATATCAGTGTGTATATAGTGTCAGTAAGAAACTACAGTGCGAGTGATTAGAAACATTGTCAGTAGGTAGACACTAGAAAGAGTGTCAAAGAATAAAAATTCTCAAAAAGTACAAAGTGTTTATATATAGAAACATTGTCATTGGGTTGACACAATGTAAGATAGAAAGTGTAAATGGGTAGACACGATATCTGTGAGTAGACAGTGTCAGTGAATAGACAAATTGTCAGTGAGTAGATAGTTTTAGTGTGTGGACACATTTCTCAGTGGGTAGATTGTCGGTAGGTAGACACAATGTCATTGAGTAAACGTTATATCAGTGAGTTGTCACTGGCAATGGGGAGGAAATGTCATACGAAGACAAAATGTCAATGTGTAGTAACTGTCAGTGGGTAGACACAAAGTCAGTGAGTAGACATTATAAATGAGTAGTCATTAACAATGGGTAGAAAATGTTGTAGGGAAGACAAAATGTTAATGTTTAGTAACTGTCAGTGGGTAGACACAGAGTCAGTGAGTAGACAGTGTTAGTAAGTATAGACATTGTCACTGAGTAGTCACTGATAATGGGGAAGAAAATGTCAGTGAGAAGACACAATGTCAGTGGCAATATTTAGACAATGTTATTGAGTAGTCATTGTAAGTGAATTGATACGATTGCGTTAATGTTTATATGAACCTTTTCAATGGGTTTCATATGGAGGTTTTTTAACATAGCATTTTGGATTTTTTTAAATGCGAGACCAAATTATATGCATTTAATAAGTTCTTTAATTTGAGATGAAGGAGTTACGGCAGTTGAATTGTGTTTTAGGGAGGTACCGGCAGCCTGCCCCGGGGAGTGCCCCTGCCCTGCCCCCTGTAACTGTTCGGATACCCTTGAACCTGTGTGTAGTACCAGAGGACAAAATTACACCAATGCATGCGAAGCAGCCTGCGAGTAAGTTGACAGTATGACATACGTTCTTGTAGAATGTCTCTATCCTCTAACAGTTGTAGACTTCGACCGTTATTTACATGCACTCGGTTTTAAAGTGTTGTTTACATATACATGTATTTTCACTCTCTAAAATTAAAAAAAAAAAAGTAAAATAGAATGAAAAAAATCTTAAACTGTAAAATGTTGTAGTACAGCAACCATTGCCTGTGATGGTACATGTCCGTGCACGGAGCTCTGTGTGTGTACTTTGGAGTTTGCCCCTGTTTGCGGCACCAACAATGTGACTTACCCCAATAAATGTCAAGCCAAATGTCTGTAAGGGTCCAAAATAATCTTTTTAAAAATTCAAATACTTTTATAGTTTTTTAAAGATAAAGTTTGTAATTCTTTTATTTTTATTTAACTCCGATTGTGCAGTTGAGCATTTCCATGTTTTGTATAATCTCCCAGGTTTTCCACGTTTAATTCAATGTATGGGGTATTTAACATTAATGTATTAATTAGTACTGCATTCTGTTATTGTATTTATGATATTTAACCAACGAACATAAAAAAAAAATCAAAATAACGGTGAGCAAGGTCCAAGTTAAGCAAGAATTCAGTCGTGTTTAACGTGTTTATAGGAATGTGAGCGTGTCCTGTCAGAATGAGTGTCCGTGCTGTGACTGTGAGGGGTACCCCGAGTCCCTCATCTGTGGCTCCGACGGTCTCGTCTACCTCAACCCCTGCCAACTGGAGTGTGCGTAAGTGCCACTGCTCTTCTCGTTTGACATTCAGTTTGTGTGACTACTTGTACAACGAGACCATACACAGTATTGTATTATGTTTCCTAACTACGGAATTAATTACGAGAAGAAAATCAGTGTAGTTTTTTTTTATTTGTTTACTTTTTACTGTAGGGGTGTGACGCAGGCGTGTCCTGGCCTCTGTCCCTGCCCTGAAGAAGCAGAACAGGGGAAATCAAGCATTGTCCATTCTAGCAACGACAAAGAAGAGTCCGACAGTGACCAATCATTACTCTCTATGCTTACTTCCCTTTGGCGCAATATTCCAACCGAAAATTGACCAATATAGATCCACCGATTTCTTGCTTGACAATTTCTTTGACAACTTCTATTAATCCTATAGATAAATATTTTGCTTCTTTCATGGAATATTCACCATCCCCATCCATCCACCTAATATTAACACTGTAGTCAATGCAAAACACAGTGTAATAGAGTACATTAATAGCCTTCAAGGACAGCTAGGATCACTTTAATGGTCAAAATTTCATTATTTTATTCATACATTTTGTAGTTGTGAAAAAGTAACTTTGTAACATGCTTACAAGTATTAACTATAAACCTATTCGCTAAAAATACACTAAAAGTGTAATTTTAAAAAATTGACATAAAAGCGAAAGTCAAAATATTTTGTTTAGAGAACTTCAATACACTCAGTAAAACCTATATAAAGAAATAATCTTTCATTCAATTCTTTATTTCATTTCATCATATCTATTTTGGTACAAATGTGTTTCCTTCCACCACCAACCCCCTTTCTACACCAGCTTACAAATAGACAGTGTGTATGTATTATAAACTGACATCAATAAAGCATTAAATGATTATAATAAACTGTTATTAATAATATCATCTAAGACATGACAAATCTCATTATTATGCACCGGCAATCATTTCCTGTACAAAATATATCTCACTCCCTGCCTTAATACTGAATGCTGAAGTAATTATGGAGGATGTTAAAACCGTTGGTGACGAATTCCCCTAGGACGTTATAGAGTTAAATACTGATATGAGGAGCCACTGTTTCCTCAAACATAACAAGGTTTGGAAAAGCTGCTGCTGATGATGGATTTAATGGCGGAATATGTGGAGGCGATGCCAGCCACGGCCCCCAGCAGAATGATTTCGATGTTCATGACTTTTACCCACAGAGGAAGACCACTACTGAAATAAACCGCCGTCGGATAACACTCGGTTAAAACAATAAATTAAATGTGTAACTATATTTTTGGAACATATATGTGAAATTAGAGGTCTGTTCGATCAAACAAACTAAAAAGATTTCAATCAAAATGACAATTTGAGTTTATAAATATTTTTTTTTGTTTCCTCTCAAAAATGAGTTTAAGAATTGTCTCATGAAGTTCGGATCAAAAGGGATATATATTCTAACATTTAATATATAATCTCCTTACTTTTCCTCGTTTGGAAGACTAAGGCTATCATCCTTGTTTCCATTAATGATTTCAACCATGTCCTGCTGACGGACAGTCCTGAGTTTCAGATAAAACAGGGACGGACAGATATAGGCTAACAACGTCACTGTGGATCCGCCCACTAAAGATAAAATGGCGCCAAATGTGGGGATCGTTTCAGCCATGAAAAGTATGAAGGCTACAACCACTGACCTAAAAACGCATCGCTTCCAAGAAAACTCTGAAGAAATAAATTATGCACATTAAATTCTGATAATTAAAACTGAAATCGAAAATTTCCACTATTTTCTTTTAACCTTGGAAAAGTAAATATTCCATTTGATAATTAGTCCCCTACCGGTGAAACCGGAGGGGACTATAGGTTTCCTCTGAGTCTGTCCGTCCGTCTGTCTGTCCGTCTGTCTGTCTGTCTGTCTGTCCCTCTGTCTGTCTGTCAGTCTGTCCCACTTGGTTTTCCGCACTTTTTTCCTAAACGCTTGCAGATATTGAGCTGGTTTTTGGTATGTGAGTGTATCTTGATGAGTTACAGATCAAGTTTGCATTTCGTTCCGCTTCATTGATTTTTGACGGAATTACGGCCTTTTCAATTTTTAAGGGTTTTCCGCAATTTTCTTCTAAACGCTTGTAGATATTGAGCTGATTTTTGGTATGTGGCTTTACCTTGATTAGTTATAGATCAAGTTTGCATTTCGTCCCGCTTTATTTATTTTTGACGGAATTATGGCATTTTCAATTCTTAACGGGAACCAGATTACACTTGCCGGTAGGGGACTAGTATTGCTAATGCAATACTCTCAGAATGCTTGTTTTAATAGACAAATGTTTGAAAGAAAAAATAGCCTTTTCCGTGGTATACTGTAAACATGGTAAATCATGTTTCTTCCCGTGAACATTATTCTCCCGAAATAACGCAATGTTGTGTTGACGGGAAAATAAAGTTCTTATGAATAATTTCAGGAAAATCAATACCTGTTAACTTTTTAAAGGGTACGGAAAATCGTATCTCATTGTTTTTTTGTTTTGTTTAGTTTAGTTTTTGTTTTGTTTTTTTTTTGTTGTTTTTTTTTTTGTTTTGTTTTGTTTTTTTTTTTTTTGTTTTTTTTTTCTTTTGCTTTTATCTACCGAATACAAACGAAAAAATGTGATTTACAGTACTGTGTAATTGGAAAAATAACAATTTGGTTATGTACATGTAAAACAATTCTAGACGTGCTTGTTTTGTTTGCCGTTCGAGTTTTCAAATCTGGCGCTGAAAATAATAATCCTCATATACATGTACTGAAAAGTCGTACCTTTTGGAACCCTTGCGTATGATTCCAGCTCCTGACAGAAGGGGTTGATAACAATCAATAGACCGAGCAGCAAGTGAAGCGTGATCATTACCTCCACGACCTGATTAAGGGCTCCGCTATTCGGCATTAGGAGAATGTTTGGATTGACATTCTTGCCGTAGACAAAGTACGCAATGGTGGATATAGGAAGGTACATCAACATCACAACTAACAGAAAATACAAAAAAAATATTCAGAGAGTGACAATTCTCGCAAAATTTATGATAATTGTCATCGTTGAAAACCTATGACTGATTATTACGCTTGGTTTCTCTCTCCGATAGAGATGGACGAAGCGAAATCAACCTTGGATTTCGGACGATGTATATTACATACTTAAATATCCGAGTGTTACGGCCCATTTAAAGTCACTGGGTCTCTTCATGTCTGTCTGGAATGTTGGAAAGGCAGGGTGGCCTCCAAAAGCAAACACGATTGTCCCAAACGCCATAAAAAATGGCTCGAACTCTGTCTTTGAGTGTGATATCGGGTCATATGTTCCCTCATCTAAAGCAACTTTGACGATAAGTAGAATACACGCAACGGCTGTAGCAAGTGTTGCTCCCACCGCAACTGGCCTAGTAACGAGATATAAAGCACTCCAAGTGATTAATGTACACAGTTTTACGAAAATCGGAGAGCGGTGTTTTAAGTTTTTAAAAGGTTCACCGTCCATCTGTTCATCCCTACAAAATTTGCTTTAACACTAATGAATTTTCAAGAGATATCTAATTTATAATCAAAATGCACACAATTTCAGCATAACTTGCAGGGCAAAATTTGTCAGGAATGGTCTTATAACTTGACAAATCAGTCTTTTATATCCAATGAAAGTTATCTCTCTTATCAGAGGGTCAATGAACCTTAAGGAAATTTCAACACACGTGCATTACTTTGTGGAGAGGGTCTAAGCTTTGAATTGGTACTTTATTCTACAAAAAATCAATGCAGCAATAAACGTAACACCTTACCAAAAATCGACTGGAGTGCCAAACCATGTTAACGGACAGATGCCGGCAGCTAGAATGACCAGCCAGACACAGAAGGACAGATCTGTACCGGTCCAGTCCTCTATCAAATCCTCTATGTTCTCCGCCGCCAGGAGCAAAAACACTGTAGACACCCCAAACAGCGTAAAGTTTATGGAAAAAGAGACCACATATCTATAATCAAAGTACGGGAAATACTCATAAACTATGTAGTAACCTTTTTTTCTTCGCGGGTGTAAAATTTTTGTTCGTTCAAAGTGTCCCGGTGTTAGGAGTAAGATGAGTCTAAGTTAATTATGCATGTGATTTACAATGAAATTATTAACAAACTCTACATGTACAATGTATATGTAAATGAAAATGCGCTAAAGAAAGCACTCGACTAAGTTTATTTTATCGCTGAATGAAAGTAGAGTAATTCTAAGTGAAAAAAAAGAAAGATAACTAAAGGTATGTTTCTTTTTAAAAATAAATATTTGTCCAGGGTAAAGACTAAAGACAGAGGAATCAAACATCATTCAGAAGATTTCTTCGAGATATGTAGCTGAAACACTCAAATAACACTATAGTGACTTGGGTATATTTTTAGTCTGAAAATAACACAGAAAGCACAAACCCTTGCATTCTGGGTGTTTCCACTCAACGGTGTAGAGGGGTTTATGATTTTTCTCTACGACTTTTGTTCCGGATACGAATGAGCAACCTAACAGTTCTTTTTAAGAATTCCAACTGAATGCCAAGCAAGTTGTTCAATCAAAATTTTAGTAGACATTCTCTTCATGAGCATAGAATAAGAATATATTTAGTAATAATTTTGTTGTAGTATTGTTGTATTTTAACAACATCCTTTTTTTATGTATTGATATATAACAGTGGTAAACAGGATAAGCTATATAGTTATTCGCCTTGTTTATACCAACCATCTCCACGAACACAAAAAACTCTCAGTGTTCACACGTTTTATAGACAAGGTCACAGTAAAACTGAATTAAAGGATCATATAGTATACATGTATTTATTTGTTTTAACCTTCCTTTCTTCCCAAAAGTCTTTTCTCCTAGCACTGGGTATGGATTTGGACAATGCTTCTTGTACTCTGGGTATCTTTCTCTCACAATTAGCCACGCCTGCCCCAGAATGCTACCCGTGTAGGATGATAAGAGTGCGCATGCCACAATCAAAACGAGGCCTATCCAACCTAGAGCGTGAAAAGTCCACTGCACTGCTGGCCATAGTTTAGAAATGTCATAAAAAAATATTTTTATCTTTTTATTAGGTAAAAACCATAAAACAAAAAAAATTCTACCCACCTGAGTCGTCAATGGCTTTGGGGAGGGCCAACACTCCAGATCCGGCGATTTCACCCACAATAAAGAAAGCAGCGAACGGAATAGATAGACCTGATGCATGCATTGGAATAGGGCCGTGGCTGCCAGAATCGCTCAACTGTGCTCAGATTTAAAAAAAAAAATGAAAATCTATTTTGGATATGATTTTTATGTGAACAGAATGATGCATCTCAATTACATAAAGAGATGAAGTCATGAATAACGTTAACAATTTACATCTGTTTCATCTTATTTCTGTATTTAACACTGGAAATATTAAAATGAAACGGTAGATGATCGCACTTGATTCGATTTATAATGAATTTACTATGATTTGTTGCTTTTTTCTTAAAACAACAGGTGTTGAACCAGTCCACGAGTTTGTATAATCAATAATTAAGGAAGAGTCATCTGTCCAAGAAAATACCTATTAACAAAATTATATTTTTGTCAATAGAACAAAATTTGATCCCCACGAAAATTAATGAAAATAAAGTTTATACGCCATTGGTGACAACCTAAAATTAGTATATGAATGCTTGTTTATGAAACTTAGTTGATTAATTTAGCTTTTGGTGGGACATTTTTGTTACAAGTACAGTGGCATATCCCTAGTTATAAAGATCTGGCTATCAGTATAAATCAAAGCCTTGTCATATGGTTTTGTTATTTTTCTCCTACAATGATTGTACAAAAGGCCAAGGGTTTGCAGGGAAAAGCGGGAAGGTGTGGAAGCTCTTCGAATTGTATCGGCAGCTTGAGAAAAAGGGAATGCCGAGAATAATTAAGAAGTCCACATAAATCAGATAAGAATGTTGTGAATAGCAGGACTTTGGGGAAGGGGTGAATGTTGAAATGCATTAGGGAAAAAATATCACTTTCTGATAAAATTTACTTACATTAGTCTCGTGGTACGTGTATGTGTATCTTATTAATCAAGAATTACAGTGCATCCGATGTGTAATTTATCTTTAAAAGACGCTGGATTACTTACTTGATTATCGGCCATCATATGTATTTTAACAAGTTTAACTAAAAATAAACATTTAAAGCTTATATTAATCAATTTATTGTGTTCCCTTTTTTATGCATTTAGAATTCCATCAAACGTACGACTTTTCAACACTTTATACAATCATTCCCCACGATAAATTAAAGTCCAGGCTTTCTGACATCATAAATAGCTGCTTTTTAATAAAAATGGAACTCGTAAATTAGCTTACCTTTTCATTGGTCATTTGCAAAATTATTTTGTTAAAAACATTCTGATTGTGCACACAAATACTCTGAAGTTGATATTAAAAAGATGCTTGAGTTTCTGATTGACAATATCTAATGTAGTTTTTTTTTCTTTGAGATCAATTCTTCCAACAGTCTGTCAGATTTCTCATCGGTAATAATTGCGCCCCGTTATTAGCAGACCTATCTTTGTATTCATAGAATTTATTCGAAAACTTTAACATGAAAAGAAGAAGTCTCTTCCTGTGGCCTTCAATTCAACATTTAGATATATGTCGACAACGTTTTATCAATTAACAATTAATATCATTTTCAATATGCAAGAGCATGCTCTACATACGAACAATTTCTAAAACGAGACAAGCCATTGACAAACAAGTTGATGATACAAGAATATTAACAGTTTCGTTTAAAGTCATCATTTCGCAAATTCTATGGTCGGTACAATGACCTTGTCAGCAAATACAATTTATCGTTAGGTCGAATGCTGACTGACGTTTTACACATAAATTCTTAGAACAATATTTACACACTGAATTGTCTATGGATTTTTCCGTTTGCCCGATCATGACAAGGAACACACTGCAGGTGTGACGGGTCGATAGGGGTTGCTTACTCCTCCATGGCACCTGATCCCACCTCTGATGTTTTTAGAGGTCCGTGTTTGCTCTGCTCCTTTGTATTGTTTCAATGTACCTTTGAGCTTGATTACTGTTCGTTATCTTCGTATTTCACCCTAAAATTTATATCACCATGGATGTTTATCGAGTCATGTTCACTCAAAAGGGTTTGAAAAACATCCATCTCTAGTAATATTTAACTAAATCATGATATTCCTAGCGACGCATTTGATTCAGTACCTGAATTTATACCCAGTTTTTACAATAACACCCGTAAACAAATCGAACACGGTGTTTCAGAGAGGATAAGCATGGTATACTAAATTCCCTCGTTAATCTATGATTTTTGAAAAATCTGTCTGAGTTTCCCTTGAGCCCTTTCTATTAATTTAAACTGATTACTTATCCATTTTATTTCCTTCTGGGGGCAAAAGAACTGCTGACCCGCCCCCTCCCCAATATATAAGATATATTGAAAATAATTAATAAAAAAGGTGACGATAAGGTACTGTGATCGATCTAAAAAAAATCTACAAACAATACAAATCTGTGAACAGGGGATAAAAGACCTCCGGGAATTCTTGAAGTAGGATCAGGTGTCTAAGAGGAGTAAACATCTCCTGTTGATCGGTCACATCCACCTTGAGTCCTATGTATTGAACGGGTAAACGGAATATTCCTTAGTCAAATTTAGTATTTAAAAAGGCCTCAAAGGCTTAGCAATTGGTATGAAAAACGTCAGCCAAAATAAGACCCAATGACAGGTTATATTTGCTTGCAAGGTCATTATATAACTACCATAGAATTTACGAAATATACTGACTTTAAAGGTGGTTGTTGAAATCCCTGTAACCATCAACTTATCTGTCGGTATCGTCTGTCTCGGTTTAAAAGTCGATCGTACTCAGAGCATGCTCTTAAGTATCGAATAAGTTGGGAGACGTAAACGCCATAAACTATAAAATACCAACAGATCCTTCAAAATATCTTCTGAGCATGTTGTGTATAAACTCGACGAATAAAAAACGATGTAAAGCTACCCATGCTAAACATCACAATCGCACAAGGCTGATAAATGCGTGAATAATTTCAGGACCTATTAATACTATATTAGTATATATATAGGTCCCTGATAATACACACTCAACATATTCTTGGACTGTTCTCATAAATGTAATTTAATCTGCATAATTTTAAGAACTTCCCAGTATTTATATAAGGAATCTCGGTTATAACTTGATAAATAATAAAATGTAAGTATCCACATGAATTTCTTATAATTGATAGAATGAGAGAGGGAGGAAGAGAGTTCGGTATATATACCCGTTTACCTCAGTTATGATTCTTTTATTATTATAAACCCTTGTACGTAGGATAATATCTATGCAGGTAGCTATAAAACCTAGTTTTAATAAAATTATGTTGATAGAGTATTGACGCACCTGTGCATTTGGTTATCTTCTATATAATCTGTCCACCCCTTGAAAACCGATTTCTGAGCTTGTCCAGCTATAGTTAGTATAGTTTATTCTCCGAGTTTTTGCTATAAGTCCATATGCATGTCTATTTGCAGGATATGAATGCAGTTCTTCTCGAGTATATTTGTCATCAAAGCACTTGAAGTATCTGACAATATTTGATAGGCATGTACATTACAATTTTCAGACTTTAAACTACTGATAGCATCACGTGAATTGTTAAAATTCATTCCAACTTTAAAAAAAAAGTGAATTATTCTTAAGAAAGAATTTGATACCTTTATAAAAAGTTTTCAGAGAAAATAAATAAAAATTAATGAAAAGTGAGCTCGTTTACCTGAAAAATAACTCTTTGCTGAGTAGCTACATATGTGTCATATGACAATGTGTTTCCTCGAAATAGTACATGTGCAAGTTGATTGCCCACTTCCGGTTTCAAATTGACCTGGGCCTGGGGTCAAGTGAAAAATGGGGGACAGAGGATGGGATCCGTTTAAGACTTTCAAAGTTTCAGAAGAAGAACGCGATTTAATTGATAGAAGACGAAAAACGAGGGACAAATTTAGAGCAGAATACAGAAAATTATATTCAGATCCGCGCAAACCTCCAATTGTAAGTTCGAATTTTCTCAATAGAGTTGTCCACAATTTTCATGTTCAGCAGTTGGGACCGATTACTCAAAAATGGAATATAATGTCCCAACGGGGTAAAGATGTATTGTGCAAAAATGAAGAGAATTTATGTAGCGATTAATATTTGAAGTATAATATGCAAAAATCACATAAAAAGCAACAACTCGGTTGTCAACTGATGACCAGTAATCAATCTACCCTGGTATCGGGTCTCTTCACCCTATCTACAGATCTGTGCCAAAAGCAAAGATAATTTTATTTTTTTTCTATATATTTTATTGAAAACCACATATAGTTAAATCACTGACAAATGGTTTGTCCAATTTCATTATTTATTTCAGTACTTAAACCAGAAAATGTGTATAGTTATTTTTTTCTAAGAGATCATTTAGTTTTTAGAAAAAATAAAGATAGTTTATCATTTACATCAGTTCTAAAATTCAAGATCAATGTGGACTATATAATTCATTGTGTGTATATGACTTCAATTTTTATGTTGCACTTGAATTACAATAAATAACATATCGATGCCGATCAGAGAAAAACTATTGTTTTTATTAAATAAAACAATTTCTTGGATTATCAAGAGTTGTCATTCCAGTGATTTACAAAATGTTGTTTTCAATGAAATATATAGAGAAAAAATAAAATTATATTCACTTTTGGCACACTTCTTTACCTGTTCGCATGAGTCCGCCCAAAGTCCATAATTCCTGTTCGCCATATATCCCGTTTGCCCTTTGTAAGTATTATATGCCAACATTGTCGTTGAATTTTAAGTCATTTTTTAATCTTGTTAATTAATAGATCAAGTAAATATATTTCCTGTCCATCAATATTGACTTTATTTCCTATTTTAATGTTTATCAAGGATGTAATTGGTTTAATTGCTGTTAATTTAGGTCTTTAAATTAGAGAACACATTTTTTTATTTTATTTTATCTTTTTTAGATTTGTATTACATGTTTGTTTTGAAAATAATTACGGAAATTGAGACGTTAATCTTGTTAACAGACCATTTTAATTGGGAATGAGCAACCTCTGAGCAATGGGTTTATGTTTTGAAGAATCTTTTATTCTCAACCTATTAATATAACATTACCTATAAATCAACAAGTATCACATCAACAATTTAACAGCTTTTTTATTTCTTCATCTATACTGAATGTTCAAATATAATGAATTATAATTTAAATACAAAAATTCATGAAATTCAATAAAATTCAAGGAAATTGCGAAAATTAACTGACAAACAAATAAAGGGCGAACAAGTTTAAGCGTGAACAGACTCTGGGCAAATGAGAATTAGGGTGAACAGTGTCAAGGGCGAACAAACGTACATTCATCTTCCCCTAATGGCCGTATCATTACCTCTTTTGGATCCATCTTACAAACTGTAGAGTTAGGAAGAACTAGTTTGCCAAAGGTCGTTGCAATCAATCTACATATTTAATTTTAAAAATTATGCAGCATTTTGGCCCAAAAAATTGCTGTGGACTACCTAGAACACAGAAAGTTGAAAAACACTTACAATAGGCCTATATAGTTCTAAATTGCAAAACTCTAATACACATGTACAGACCAATGTTGTATTCCTTCATATAATTAAATTGAATTGTAAATCAACTTTTTTTTTTATTTACTACCTTGCTAGAAAGTAAGAAAGAACTATTACTGAACACTTTCTGTTTGGTATATATAAATACACACACCCAAGTTGATATATCAGTATAAATACAAAACTGATCAGGTGCAACATTTTCTTGGTAACAGAACTTGGCTTCTTCTCTATCCTTTTAATATGCTCAATATGAATTCATGATTTTTTATACCTCCACAAAGTTTTTTTTGGGGGTGGGGTGGGGGTGGGGGGTACTGGAGTCAGCACGTCCATCTGCATGTAGACATGATTTTGACTGGAAATTTTCTTCAAAACTTTTGCATAGATTTGTCTGAAAATTTATAAACTCCTTAATTACCATACAGTAAAACTCGTTTAGTATGAACACGGATATAGTGTAACTGTATATTATATTATACTACAAAAATGCAGACTTAACTGTCCATCCAACAATAGATAGTGTAAATCCATTTGTCCCGTGGGTGTTTTGATCTGAAGGATCCAAAGTCTTTGAAAGAGCAATTTGATCAGAGCCAATTCCATCTATCCAGTTAAAGATTAATAAATGAGTTCAATGTAAGGAGGATGTCTAAATCATTTCAGAAATTCTGTTAGAGTATTTCATCAAACAGATGTTATCCATATCTCCTGGTAATTGGGCAGATTTAAAGATATGGTCTCTTTTAAAATTGCAATTGAAAGCATCTGTCAAATAAAATACATAGCTCCTGATGGCCAGACTTTTATTAAAAATTATCTAAATAAACAAATTGCAGTTTCATAGTTCACTAAGATATGGCATAATGGCATATGATTGCAATATGTTTTACTATCTTAATATTTTACCTTAAAAAAAAAACAATCCAATGATGATCAGTATTTTCATCTTTTACTATGCTGTGGCATAGTTCATCATTCATAAAAAATATAGTTACTACAGTGAAACTTTTTTAATCAGGACACCACTGGTTCCAAAGAAATTGGCGGATTATGCAACATTTTGGATTGGACAACATTTTTATAAATTTGAATTTATTGAAAGGGACTTAAAGTTTACGTAGTATTAGGCAAGATTTTGGAATACACAACATCTGGATTAGACAAGTTTCACTGTATGAGCAAATAAATTTTGACTGTTAATATTAACATTGTGAACACACTTTCTAGATCCATGAAATATTCTAAGTGATTTGGTTCTCTTACTGAAAAACCCAGCAGGGGTATTTGTCTATTCTGAACAATTCTAGTTTTGTTTTGTTGCTGGGATTTTTTTTGGGAAGTGGGATCCAGGGCATTTCATTGATGCAGATAAACTACTGAATATGCAGTTCTTCAGTGACAATAAGTTTTTGTTTTTATTGTAGCTGGATCATAACTTTATGAGATGGTATGCTTACAGAAACAACCAGAGTGCTCTGCATCAATTGACAAAACGTTCCGTCATTGGAGGATTTAAATATTCTGTTCTCCCTATTGCAATTGCATATAACATCTTAAGTTATGCTGTAGTAAGTATTTTTAGAGTACTTATATGAATAAAAAAGACTTTGTTTTTTTTTCTGTTAATTGACAAATGATATAGAATAAATAAAAGTTGCATACCATATTTAAGAGATTGAGAGGGAATTATTAGGTGAAAAATTAAAATTTTTTGATATACAGTTTTTAGCTCACCTCAACGAAGTTGGGGGAGCTTATGTAATACCCTCGGCGTCGGCGTCCCAGGTTAAGGTTTTTGGAGCAGTTTTCTTTTCAAGTACTTCTATGGTGGTTATTGGCCTATATTAGTCAGAGATGCATGGAGGATGCTTCTAGTGTGTTTCATTGTACCAGTCAAGGTTTCAGATGCTGCAATTTCAGCTAAAGAATGACCAGGTTAATGTTTTTGGAGCAGGTTAAAGTTTTTGGAGCAGGTTAAAGTTTTTGGAGCAGGTCTCATTTCCAAGTAACTATAAGCCCTATATTGACCAAACTTGCATGGATGATACATCTAAGGATGCACACTACTGAACTTGCTTCGGATGCTGGATCTGACCTACATTTTCAGGATGAGTGACTAGGTTAAAGTTTTTGGAGTAGATCTCATTTCCAAGTAACTGTAAGCCCTATATTGACAAAACTTGCATGGATGATACATCTAAGGATGCACACTACTGGACTTGCTTCGGATGCTGGATCTGACCTACATTTTCCGGATGAGTGACCAGGTTAAGGTTTTTGGAGCAGATCTCATGTCCAAGTAACTATAAACCCTATATTGACCAAACTTGCATGGATGATACATCTAAGAATTCACACTACTGGACTTGCTTCGGATGCTGGATCTGACCTACATTTTCCAGATGAGTAACCAGCTTAAAGTTTTTGGAGCAGATCTCATGTCCAAGTAACTATAAACCCTATATTGACCAAACTTGCATGGATGATACATCTAAGAATTCACACTACTGGACTTGCTTCGGATGCTGGATCTGACCTACATTTTCCAGATGAGTAACCAGGTTAAAGTTTTTGGAGCAGATCTCATTTCCAAGTAGCTATAAGGCCTATCTGAACCAAACTTGCATGGATGATGCATCAAGGGACGAACAATCTCAAAACTTGCTTCGGATGCTGGATTTGACTTACATTTTCTGGATGAGTGACTAGTTTTAAGTTTTCAGTTAAGTCTATTCCCAAGTAACTGCAAGCCCTATCAGACCAAAATTGCATAAATGTTGCATCTAGGGATGCACACTCCTAGATTATTAGTTTAGTGTGGGACTTTGCCTTACTTAAAGACAACATTCGTTGAGGTGAGCTCTGTAATCTCTGATTACCTATGTTTAAGATTATCAGTATTCAGTGCAGCATTTGTTGAATTTTATGTCAAAAATTGATGTACAATTCATGTAAAGACAGCAGATGCAAAAAAAATCCATCTTTAAAAAAAGACTCTCCCTTTTAGCTGGGGTTTCCTGACTCTCTGCTGTATTATGCTGTATTCTGAAATTATACTCTGTCTTTCTGCTGGGATCTTTAACTCTCTGCTGTATTATGCTGTATTCTGACATGATACCCTGTCTTTTACCCTGACTCTCTGCTGTATTATGCTGTATTCTGACATGATACTCCGCCTTTCATCCTGACTCTTTGTTGTATTATGCTGTATTCTGACATGATACTCTGCCTTTTACCCTGACTCTCTGCTGTATTATGCTGTATTCTGACATGATACCCTGTCTTTTACCCTGACTCTCTGCTGTATTATGCTGTATTCTGACATGATACTCTGCCTTTCATCCTGACTCTTTGTTGTATTATGCTGTATTCTGACATGATACTCTGCCTTTTACCCTGACTCTCTGCTGCATTATGCTGTGTTCTGACATGATACTCTGCCTTTGATCCTGACTCTCTGCTGTATTATGCTCTATTATGACATGATACTCTGCCTTTTACCCTGACTCTTTGTTGTATTATGCTGTATTCTGACATGATACTCTGTCTTTTACCTTGACTCTCTGCTGTATTATGCTGTATTCTGACATTATATTCTGCCTTTTACCCTGACTCTCTGCGGTATTATGCTGTATTCTGACATGATAATCTGCCTTTTTACCCTGACTCTTTGTTGTATTATGCTGTATTCTGACATGATACTCTGTCTTTTACCTTGACTCTCTGCTGTATTATGCTGTATTCTGACATGATACTCTGCCTTTTACCCTGACTCTCTCCTGTATTATGCTGTATTCTGACATTATACTCTGCCTTTTACCCTGACTCTCTCCTGTATTATGCTGTATTCTGACATGATACTCTGTCTTTTACTCTGACTCTCTGCTGTATTATGCTGTATTCTGACATGATACTCTGTCTTTTACCTTGACTCTCTGCTGTATTATGCTGTATTCTGACATGATACTCTGTCTTTTACTCTGACTCTCTGTTGTATTATGCTGTATTCTGACATGATACTCTGTCTTTTACCTTGACTCTCTGCTGTATTATGCTGTATTCTGACATGATACTGTCTTTTACTTTGACTCTCTGCTGTATTATGCTGTATTCTGACATGATACTCTGTCTTTTACTCTGACTCTTTGTTGTATTATGCTGTATTCTGACATGATACTCTGTCTTTTACCTTGACTCTCTGCTGTATTATGCTGTATTCTGACATGATACTCTGTCTTTTACCTTGACTCTCTGCTGTATTATGCTGTATTCTGACATGATACTCTGTCTTTTACTCTGACTCTCTGTTGTATTATGCTGTATTCTAACATTATACTCTCTGCTGTATTATGCTGTATTCTGGCATGATACTCTGTCTTTTACCTTGACTCTCTGCTGTATTATGCTGTATTCTGACATGATACTCTGTCTTTTACTCTGACTCTCTGCTGTATTATGCTGTATTCTGACATGATACTCTGTCTTTTACTCTGACTCTCTGCTGTTATGCTGTGTTCTGACATGATTTTGAATTACTTTGTAGGTCATTTTTCTGTCAATTTGATTGTTATATTTTAATGGGGAGGAGACTTGTATATTTATCAATGTCTGTACATCTATCAGAATAGCGCTCTTAACCCTGAATAATTGTTTGATGACACTATGAGGGGGATGATCTTCAACTTTTTGGTTATTATTTTAAATTCAAGAAATTGCCAGAGATCAGCCATACTGCAAAATAAGGGGGAAACAAACAGCATATAAAATTTTCATACTAAATCTGTTGCAAAAGACTACCAGTATTTTTGACAAAAGTGACCCCATACTACTGCCCAGTATTACCTCCAAAATTGAAAAACCATATGAGGGATGTAACTCTAGGATTGATCATGATAGAAAATTTTACATTCCAAAATAAGATTTTGTTAGATTAATTTTTTGGGGTGCTATTGGAAGAGTTTCTAAGATATGCTTTATAAATTAAATTCCATATGATTAAAATTTAAACATAAATGACTTGAACTTGTTCTTCCTCTGAATTTATCTAGACTGGTGTACATTTACCTATGGTTTTCTGTTGTAGGACAGGAAAGAAGAAGACATTATGTCAGGAAAGTTAACATGGAGACAGAGAGTCCGGGGAGAGGGCTGTCTGGGATCCGGCTTCTAATGACTGTCAATACACTGATAAACTGTGTTATTGTTAAAAGTTTTGTGTTTATAATATAAGTGAATGAAAAATAAACCGTGATTAACTGACAGTGCTGTAGACCAAGATTCATCTGTCTCTTCTTTCATTTACTCATATGATAAGACAAACAAAAAAAAGTCAATCTTCCTGATTAATACCTATAAAATATTTTGGAGAAACATATACCTATAAAATATTTTGGAGAAACATATAAACTTTACTAGGGAAGCTGAACATACATCAGACCTATTCCTGTGTTAATACTGTGCAAAGCTAGTTACTAGTAGTAGTATAATATCTTTTTTAAAGATAATGTCATTAATGTGTATTTCAAGGTATCCCACTCAGCTAAATGACTTGAACTTGAACAGGAAATCTGACCACAGTTTGTTGTTTTTACAAGGTCTTTGCATTTCTTTCACCAAAGAACATGGGTAAATGCATGTGATAAAGCATGTAGTTTGTCAAAGGGAACACAGTTACCTTTAGTCACTCTAGTCAATGTCACCACATACCAATAAACAACAATTATACAGTGGAAAAATATATCCCAAATCTGTATTGACCATGTTACATATAGTCTGAACACCAATGTAAGAATCCTTCAAAATTGCTGTGAATCCCACAGGTACTTGGGTCTTGGTTTGTAAATATGTAAACCAATTGATATGTAAAATGAGTACTCTTTTTACATATCAATAGGTATACATATTTTATATAACCCAAGACCCAAGTATCCTGGGTGCATTCTTCCAAATATGCACTGACTGAAAACCAACAATAATCGGACCAAGAGGAAAAGTGTTACTAAGCAGAAAAATAAGCAGTTTTACCTGTACAATTTTCAACATTGAAAATTTACCAAGTTCTACTAGTGAACAGGTGTACAGTCACATCGTGCAACCTTCAGCATTGTAAGACCCGCAGTCATCTGACTTCATTTTCCTCTGCTTTATTTATTTGAAACCTATTCCTGACTCTGCTTCAACAATAAGTAATACATGTAGTTGAAGTAACATTGAAACTCAATCATTAATGATAAACATTCATCATATGATGAGTTTTCATTCATAATCTCTCATTTCTTAGGATGCAAATGCAAATGAACATACAGCATAATAAACACAATAATTATTTTTGGAAAATTTACCAAATTGTCTGCTGTCGAATCATTACACACACTCAATGAAGAATGAAAAATTGTCTCTGTATTTATTGATTAAGGAATGGTAGCTTCAGTTATATAATAATACATTTTGTTCCCTCTGAATCTAATCGACGAATCTTTTGGTCTTGACTGGCCAATTGAGTTTTAATGTCATTCAAATTAGAATTCATTTCACTTCTTATTTGATTCACATCTGACTTGATGCTAACTAAAAAACTCCTGATGTCCACTTCCTCTTCCGGTATATCGCGAAATTTTGTGAGACAGTCCAGTGGTAATTTTAACGCTTCCAATATTGGTTCGATTGGGGTAACAAAACAGGTTCCAAATGAAGTCATGGCTACAGCCATTCCTATGCACTTCAGTACTAAAGGGTTTTTTCTTGTAACCATAAAAACAAAAGACCCCGAATCCCCGGCAGATAAAAATGAAGGTCTATCATTGGAATCTATTGTAGGATCAATATCTGGTATGATTTCCATTTGTCCTTGTAATGTTACATTTGAATTATCATTGAAGGTTGTGGGCACACTGCGGAATATGGCTTCTGTAAACTTGATTTTTCCGCTAGTTAGTCTACTAACTGCTCCCATTTTCACGATTTTTGAGTCTATATTTGAAAATGTAACACTTTCAGTTCCCCCATAAGAAAAATGAGGTGACTCGTTGAAAAACCCTGAAAATAGAAATCTATTATTAGACAAGTGATCAGATAAATACATCAAAACGATAAAAACTTCTTGTAATATAAAAGCTATTTTATTATTAATTAACCTATAATCGTCAGAACATTTGGTGTCTTTTGACAGTGAATAGTTATATTTTTTGATACTTTTAAATTCATAAAATTAAACTTTTAATCGTCCTATTGCGATATTGAGAGGTTTGAATACCACTCCAACAGCACATGATAAATACATGTATTTACTCCTATATTAATTGTTACCTGCACAACGAGCGTCTTCTTTGCGCATCTTTTTTGAGAATGATCCATCAACAGGGATAGAGTGGGATATTTTTATCAGAGCTGCATCCACACTCGTACCTTCATACCTGTCATCCTTAAAGACAGCCCTCTCGACAACTCCGATATGAGAGCCGTTTCCGTCAGTTATCTCAGTCAAGATTCTAGCCAATTTTCGTGGGTTTCCAAAGTCTTTCTTTTTTAATTCAGTTGGTTCGAAAACAACATGTGCACACGTTATAAACCCCTTCAAACAGCTCCCCGGCAAATCAACAAAACCACCTAGAGTACCAATGGAACTCGAATCTGGTAATCTAATTTCATCTCCAACGCAAAGCGGTTCATCGTTTGCTGCAAATGAACATGCTGCCTCTCGGATATCAACTTCATGACCCTCCAGCTTAGCTGGAAAGGGCATTTCTCCCGCAGGTATGACGCCCTTTACAGGACAGCACAGTAAAATGCATGGCGTAGGATATATTTTGATTTCCTTAGTTTCAAAACCCTTGCTACGAACACAAGACGCCGATATTAATGAAATGTTACTATGGGATCGGAGAAGAGATTTAACTGTTTCTGGACTCAATTTTATATTGAGTAAATCTGCACATTTATTTTCAAATCGCAGCATCTTCTTTGATTCTTCGCTAAATTCATTTTCTCCCCGTAATAGAAGACTTAATCCCGCAAAAGTTCTCATATCTATATTTTTCGGCTTTGAACTATTTGTTATCACCACCAAAGTATCTAATGCTGAATTTTTCGTAGAATGTCCTGCCCAAACGTCCCGTATATCGTATGTATTCTTGTAACATTTTCTAAAATACAGTGCCACAGCACATCCTAAAGCTTTCAGTATTTTCTTATCTGGATGGTTTTTGAATGTTGTCACCATTCGCTCAAATAATTTATATGCAATTTGATTAGCAAATGTCAAAGCCAATTTAACAAGCCATTTAGAGTTATGTTGGATTCCTTGCTCTAATATGTAAATAGGGTCAAATTTCCCCTTTCCTCTAACATCGAGCATGTATGTATTTAGTAAAGTGTCAAATAATGATTTTTCTGTAACGCAAGTCTCCTGCATTGTTGTAGCAAATCTGTTCACCAAATCCATGTCATCTGCAACATCGAGCGCCAGAAACAAAGACTTGTGCCCGAGGATAGGCTCAACAGATCTAGTTTCTGACAACACAAGATATGGAAATGCCTTTTCAGCCAATGTCGCATTCACATTCACATCTGAATCAAAAATGTATGTACCAAAGTGTTTGATCTTTTTCTGTATAAAAGATCGACAGACAGTCTTTAACTTTGAGGAATCTTGGTACAAACAAAACAGAAAAGACAGTGAAACACTACGTTGAAAAAACAGGAATAATGAACCAGTTGGAATGAGCTGACGAAGTCTTACTGTCATCTCTCTATCTTGCTTCATATATCTTATGCAAAGAGGTTTACTCCACACGTACATGTGTGATATCATTTCCAAAATGTCAATGAAATCAATGTTTGGATTTTCAAGTTCTGAAGTAATGCGTATAAGAAGATTTCTTATGTAGGCCTTTGGGAATAATACTTTGGATTTATTTTCCGATCCATTTTTAAAGAACTCTGATAGAACCGCAATTGGATACCATGCTATAAACTTAGAGGGATTCCTTGTCAACAATACACGATTGGTAGCCTCCGAAACTATTTCATTCATAGATATTTTTCTTGTATCTTCTTCGGCTAAAAAGACACCCAGGAACGCACTTGCGATTTCTGACATCGAAAGAGGCATCGAGTGGTTATACTCAGACCCACATAAGATGAAAACATCTTGAAAAAACATTTCATTTGAACAAGCATTGGAGAAAAAGTCACGATCGACTGTGTTTCCATGAAAAGCAATCGAGGCGAGAACAGCTAAGCAAGGACCCTCCATTTCTCCAAAGTATTCTTCTAGTACTTTAACCTGGAAACTGAGAATGTTAGATATATCTTTTTTCAGTGGAAAAACTGCATTTGTCGACGACATTCTACAACACTTAGGGAACCCCCATAAAAAATCTCTCTCAGCTAAAACATGTAACATACATGTGCTTGCGTCTTCCATTCCAATTTTCAGTCCATAGTTTTGAAGAATCCGTATCTTGTCGCTTTGATCTAAGGATTCTGAAAGATCTACAATCGGAAATTGCGACCAAATGAGAGAGTTCCCGTGGCGTATTTTTAGGAAATTCAGAACATCTTTCTGAAAGACAATGACTAGTCTTCCTCGATTTTGACAAGTTGTACTCTGGAAACGACAAGCAGCAGAATCTATGTTTTTCAAAACATCAGAAGAATGGCGCCTTGAAACAGGTATTGTAGAGGTAACATTGTCAAAAAGATAAATAACGTTCCTCCTCGCTTCTAAACTTTGCAGTTCCGTAAAACTTTGCAGAAATCTTGCTTCAGCTTTACGTAGATTGAGTTTCTTAACATAATGATTAAGAACTGATGTTTTCCCGTCTCCTGGCATGCCTGTAAGAATGACAACGTTTGATTTCTTCAAAGCAGCCACGAAACTTTTAAATCCGTTAGTCTCTATGAATAGAATGTCAGCATCATATTCTGCAGATACATGTATATGTTGTAATTGACCTGCAACGAAAAAAAATTCAAGCCATTCCAAATGTAATTCTGTAATAACATAAGTCTTAAAGAAACAAAACAGGAATATTTGATTTTAACTGTGTTTTATTTAATATTTCCACAAATCGGTTTCAATCAAAGATGAGTTATTTTAAAGAATTTTTAAAAACGCACCGTTTCCAGTCGGCTGGGACTCTTGGAAACTACGAAATTCTCTTCGTTTTTGTTTCTCTGTAAAAAAAATATCTGACATCAGTAATACCACTGTTGCAATACTTATATAATTTTGTGCATGTCAAAGGAATATTACAGAGCAGATTTTTCAAAAAGTA